AGAGAGAGATGCTGAGCAGGGCAAAACAGGCAAAGCTATTTCTACTCCACTATCAATGCTGCTCGTTCTGAAGAAAATGAATCAAACCTCTCAGGATTCTCACAAGGCCTCGCCCAAAGCAACTATAATGCTGGAGAAGCCTGTCTGGTGAAACAAGCTGAACCTAAAGGGAGTGCCTCTAAATCTGCACCCAGCCAGCAGCTGCACCCCGGCTCCCACAGACTCTGTCAACCACCGGGAGTCCAACACGTGAACAAACCGACTCAGTCAGGAGTCCGGTCAAACCCAAAACCACCAAGACAACGACGATGATTTAGTGTTGGTGTAAGTGAAACTCTGCTAGTCAAAAACTCCCCCTGTTTCGGCTGTACAAAAACCCTGACCACCTTCCCAGGATTCTAGCCAGCTTCTAAGGGTCAAAGGTCAACAGCAAGATCCCAAAGGGTCGCACAGTCTGCTTCACTGCTCAGCTTCAACAGAAAAAGGTGAGTGAAGGATAACTGAGAAAGAAATTATTGGCCGTTTGGCTGATTTTGAAAAATATTCATCTATATGAGCAGCTCTATGGTCCAGATTACACCTGGGCAAATACTTGTATTTCTAACATATACCTGTATATATATATATATTATATTAATATTACCAAAATATTATAAGAAATATTGATCCAAATACATTCAATATACACCTCACACACCATCTTCAGCATTTTTTTCAATGTAATTTCTTGCACTTTCCTGTGACTCTAGTCAAACAATGGCATGTCATTCGATCAGTTAATTTTTCTGTAATTTAGAAAAAAGCATGTGGACACACCCAGATTTTATCTACATTATATCATCATTGCTGCATGTCAATATAATAGTACTTCATGATGTATTGCCTAAAATGTAGCAAGAAATACTGATTTACTATTAAGACAACTTCAAACTTGAATCTTTGACTTTCAAATGAATGAGACAGAGGTTCTCCTTTTGATATCATCTGTGTATCCATTTTTGCCAGTCTGTTTATCCTCCTACCCCTTTTTCCTCCTGATCAGGCCACTCTGTCTGTGGTGAATGTGGCGGCTCTTGCCAGATAAAGGGGAGAGGTTGAAGACTCAGGTCAAGGAGCTGGAGGAAGCGCTGGAGTCCCTGAGCCTCACTGCTGCTTCTCAGCCAGGTAACTCTCCCGCTGTACAGCAGCAATAATAACATAGTTTACATTAAAGTGTGTGTCTTCTGGCTTTGCAACTGTAAATATTGCAAATCCCTTTTCCCAGGCTCCCAGGGTGACAGCAGTGATGCTGCTCCAAGTAGCAGTCAGGTCAATCCATTCAAGCCGACAAGGCGGCACCATCCTGCTCCCTGCCCCTCCGGCCCCGAGCCCTTATCAGCACCAGGCCTCCGGCAGCTCCCTGGGCTCCAGCTGAGGCCAGGGGTACAGCCGAATGTATGGAGGTAGCTGAACATTGTTAGTTCTGTCACACTACCTGGTTTTAAACACATTTCTGTAATACTTTGGGATTTTTCTCTCTTCACTACTTTTATCATTCGTTGCAAATACCCTAATCCTCAGTCTCTTCATGTTTCCAGCAAACCTACAGGCTCAGGCCTTTTACGGTGGCAGGATGACCGATGACCGTCTGCTGGCAGTGAAAAACGCCACCTGCGAGGCCATCGACCCATCTCCACAAATCCCTGGAGTCCTGCCCCGATGCTGAGGCCGAAGCCCCAGACCCCAGAGGCATCAAGGTATCACTGTCCTTCAGTCACTAGTCGGGGTTGTCATCAGTGCTTCACACAGGATATCTGACAACACTAATTAGATTTTGAAGAAACGTCAGGGAGTGATGCATCACTGCTTTTAGTTATGTGACTGTTCTGTGCTTCCAATATTGTGGCCAGACCCATAAAGAAATGAGTTTTAGGTCAGACCAGGCCTGATCTCCCAGCATCACATTAATGCAGCTATAGTGCTTTTGAGAATGTATCAGAATCATAACATTGTTTATAATTTCTGGTGTCCACATACTTTTGGCCATAGTGTATTTGCTGTTTTGAAAAGAAATTCTCATGACAAGTGGCCATGGAAGGAGGATCTATATCGTCTTTTGACTGGTCCATCATGTTACTCTAACAACACTGTCCTCTTGTGATTGGCTGGTCAGGTGTCGCTCCTGCCCCATCAGAGGAGAGCTTTGCCTGGCTGCTTCTGGAGAGAAGCCAGAATCCATGTGGAGGAATTCTGGTATGTTGACCATTTTACGTGATTTTTATTAAAGAGATCATGATGAAGAGTTTGGTACAGAGATGGAATAATACTTCAAATTAACAATTATTTTGTTCCTTTTCCGACAAAACCAAGTGCCATGTACCCTCCAGTGACCAGAGAAACCGTTTACAGGGTATCGGAGAAGCTTCACAATAATTGTTATCTTCTTTCCTTTCCTTCCCTTTGTTTCTTCTCACTCTCACTCTTTTTTGGGATTAGCGGATGACATGGGTCTGGGTAAAACTCTGACCATGATTTCTCTCATACTGGCCAAGAACATCAAGGCGAAAGAGGAAGATGAAAAGAAGGAAGAGAGAAACTGGAGAAATGGATCTCCAAAAACTGGTATTTAAGAACCTTTTATCACTCTGTCGGTTGGTAGGAACCTCAGTGCTGTGCCATGCAATTAGTATTTAATTAAATTAACATTTTTTTCCTTTTTTTTCTTTTTTTTTTTGTTCATCATTTAGACTCCGGCATTGTGGTTTCTAAAGGCACTCTGATCATCTGTTCCCGCCTCCCTGATTCACCGCTGGAAGGGAGATCGAGAGACATGTCAAGACAGGCAAGCTGACTGTGTATCTTGTACCACGGCCCCCAACCGAGAGAAAAGTGCCAAAGTGTGAGGGAACATGCACACATTCACACAGTCCACAGTCACACAGTGCACACGGTCAACACAAATTACCACAAATCAGACACATTCACACAATCATACAATCACACATCACACATTCACACACACTCCAATTAACACATTCACAAGACATCACACATCACACATTCACACAATCACACACAATCAAACAATCACACATTCACATCACACAATCACACATTCACACACCAATTCACACAATTCAGCAACTTCACACGACATTCCACAAGACAATCACACATTCACACAATCACAATCACAATCACACATTCACACACACTCCACAACACAATCACACATTCACACAAATCACACAATCACACATTCACCACACATCACACAATCACACAATCACACAATCACACAAATCACAACAATCACACAATCACACAAATCACACATTCACCACACAATCGCACAATCGCACATTCACACAAATCACACATTTACAACTTTCACACATTCACACAAATCACACAATCACACACAATCACACAATCGCACAATCGCACCATTCACACATTCACAACATTCACACATTTCACACATCACACAATCACACATTCACACAATCACACAAATACAACAATCAAACAATCACACAATCACACATTCACACAATCGCACAATCGCACATTCACGAATCGCAATCACACAATCACACATTCACGACTTTCACACATTCACACATCACAAGTCAAAAGGGAAGTCAAATGTTGATGTTGAACTAGTACTGAGTCATCTGTGCGTTTCATCATCTCAGACTCTTAGACATCAACATGGACCAGACGATTGGCCTTTTAAGGCGGTTGTGTTTCTATTGGAGAAGTTTGATCAAACAAAACAGATGGAGAGAAATGGCTTCATTTAATGTTACGTCTTTGCCCTCAATTACATTTTCTTGTTATATTGACAATAATGACAACATTATTATTAATAATAATAATGATGATAACAATGATAATAATAAACTTTATTTACGTAGCACTTTTCATACACAGGAAAACAGGGAAATCATTAAAAAACGGGGAGAACATTTAAGACAAAAATAAATTGTTGCATCAAAACACCAGATTTTCGGTGACCTTTTGAAGCGCACACAATCAAACAGAGTTAAATGTTCTCTGTCCGTCCCTCAGGCTGGCAGATTATGACGTGGTGGTGACCACATACAGTCTGGTCTCTAAGGAGATTCCAGTCCAGAAGGAGGAGGCCGACAAACCCGCCAAGGATTCTGATGATGTGAGTAATATTTATATTTATGACATAAAGCCACAGCCACAGTGGCAGCTTTAATGCGGTGACTTAAGATTCTTCCTGTAAAACATGAATACACCCAGAGTTGAACTGAAGGCGCTGGCAGCTGATACTTGAGTCCATCATGTTCCGTTTTGGTGCTGATAATAATAAAACTCAAAACTCAGACACACGTGCACTTCATCCCTCGTCATTTTCCCTCAGCCATCGCCCTCAGCTCCTCTGTTGCGAGTGGCCTGGGCCCGCGTGGTTCTTGATGAAGCCCACAACATCAAAAACCCAAAAGTGCAGACCTCCATGGCCGTCTGTCAGCTGAGGGCTCGCGCTCGCTGGGCGGTCACTGGTACGCCCATCCAGAACAACCTGCTGGACATGTACTCACTGCTCAAGTAAGACAACACCACAGTGAATACAAGAGTTTTACAAGTCTAAGTAGAAATGCTTTCTCTGTTTTGTCTGCAAATTTTTATTTACCTTTTAAAGTATGTTAAGAAAGATTAAGTTTTTATGACCGTGTAATTTGTATAGAAAATTTCTTTCATATAAAATGCACTGCACATCTCAGTCAAATTTAAACATAAAACATAATAGAGTAAAATAAACCATTCAAACAGGTTAAATAATAATTGTTAATATAATTGATTCATAATATTCAGGTGGAAATTAGCAAAGCTTAAACTGAAAGATTCATCTTCACCTTGAATCAAGAATTTTTTTTTTTCTCACACTGCAGGAGTTATGAAAGTGCTTTAGAAAAGGCCACAAGGTGGCGCTATAGATTACTTTCCAAATGCTATTGAACTCTATTAAATACTTTTTGAGAGAGCCTCTGAAATGTCAGACAAACAAATGGGAGCAAAACCAGCTGTTTGGTGGCAGAAACAAAATTCTAAGTTGGAGAAAGACGAGGCTGAACTTTAGTAATATTAATGTATTAACCAGCACCCATGAACAGTCCTTAGACCATTGAGTTCATATCTCTCATGTTGCACAAAGAAACATTGATGAGTGATGATGCTTTGCCCTGATAATGTACTGAAGTAATTATTGAAACTACTGAAACATAATTGTGTCTTCACTGCAGTCAACTGACGTCAAGATGGTTAATTGAAATGAGACGGTTCATTCACGGTGTGTCTCTCAGGTTTCTGCGTTGTTCTCCGTTTGACGAGTACAAACTGTGGAAAGCTCAGGTGGACAACGGCTCGAAGAGAGGCAGAGAGAGGCTGAACATCCTGACCAGGACTCTGCTGCTCCGACGAACCAAAGACCAAATGGACTCGTCGGGAAAACCACTGGTAGAGACGCACACTCGCACACATTGGGTGACAATTGTCTTTTACGAGTGTCTGCTTGCCATGACCCACAGACACTCTGCTCGCTCTTGATCCAGGCTGAAGTGAAGTGTCAAATGTTTCAGGTGTCTCTTCCTGTTCGGACCTGCAAGGTGCATCGACTCAAACTGTCTGAGGACGAGCAGGCTGTGTATGATGTGGTCTTTGCCCAATCCAGGTAACACAACAACTCGTCTTATTGTTTTGATTTAACACAAGATTTCTCCTTTATCCTTCCCTAGTCTTTTACATTGTATTTACTGTTTCATTTTTTGGCTCCCTCGTGATGTTTCCCATGAAGGGCATGGAAAAGTGGCTAGGAATAAAGTAAGGACATTGTGACTTCACTGTTGGAGAAGTGACCTTGGCTTCTCTTGGCCAGCTGGCTACATCTGGACAGGAAAATAATTCATGCTTTCAGCTACTCTCTGACTTCAATTAAGGATGCTAATCATCTCCAAGGTCTAAATGTGTGTAACTGTATTAAAAAAAAAAAAGGATGGACTGCCATTAAGTCTTCCTAGCTCCAGTGGATAGATCAATAAAACAAATATATGTAAATGAAACTAGAATGATGATTTCTCCGTTTTCTTCTAGATCCACTCTGCAGAACTACCTGAAGAGACATGAAGGAAAAGATGTGAACAAGGCGAACACGTCCAGCCCCAATCCCTTTAGCAAAGGTGAGATATCAGCTGGTTGTTTTTATACTGTGACTGTATCGCTTTTTATTTGTGCCTAAAAACCTGCAGAGAGATTTTTTTGCAAACACATAAACTCTAATTTGTTGAGAAATGATCACAAAAAAAACTATTTTGTGCTTAGTAGATGTTTTTGCATGCTGGCTGTTATCCACTAATAACCTCTCTCACTCAGTTTTACTACCTTGTCAAATTCCTGCTCTGCTCGCTCCCAAGTTTGTTCGCTCAGTGTTTTACAGTGTGAAATATGAAAGCTGGAGTCGGTAACTTCTGGTTTGGTTATTCTGTCTCTAGTTTCTAGTCGAATTTTTAGAACAAGATGATCCTTTGGATAAAACTTTCTGCTGTGTTTTTCTTCTTGCGGCAAAGTTGTTACATCCTGTTTGACCTCAGCTCACATTTTGCAGTGTGTGAATGAGGTAGAATATATTGTATGCCTCAGTTATTTATTGGCCTCACACATATGCACATCATTTTATATGTGCAGAATGCTGCAGGTAAAGAAAAAAAACATATAGATTACGGAAAGAATAAAATTAATTTTCCATTAAGGCTGAATCAAACCTGACAGTATTGCCTTTTAAGTCAAACTTGATTAGTAATTAATGTTGCGGTTACTAATGGAGGTGTATCAAAAGTATATATGTGTGTGTGTGTGTGTGTGTGTGTGTGTGTGTCTTCCCTCTCCAGTGGCCCAAGAGTTTGGTATGTCGCAGTCTGACCCTGCTGTGCCGAGTTCCAAGCAGGCGTCCAGCACCGTCCACATCCTGTCCCTGCTGCTGCGCCTCCGACAGTGCTGCTGTCACCTGTCCCTCCTGAAGAAGGTACACACACACACACACACACACACTGCTGNGTGGCCCAAGAGTTCGGTATGTCGCAGTCTGACCCTGCTGTGCCGAGTTCCAAGCAGGCGTCCAGCACCGTCCACATCCTGTCCCTGCTGCTGCGCCTCCGACAGTGCTGCTGTCACCTGTCCCTCCTGAAGAAGGTACACACACACACACACACACACACTGCTGCTCTGGCAAAGCATGTCAGTTTTGTCCTTAATCTAAAAGACTTGCTCACACACATGTACAGCACACACAAGCATTGATTTTCTGTCTTTCTCTCAGACTCTGGACTCGACAGAGCTGCAGGGTGATGGGATCGTCTTGTCTCTGGAGGAGCAGCTCAACGCTCTGTCACTCTCCTCCAGCCCCTCGCCGTCATGCCCCGACCCCAAAGACACTGTGGCCCTTAATGGCACCCGCTTCTCCTCAAAGCTGTTCGAGGACACCAGCGAGAGCACCAAGGTGGGCAACCATCACCATCACACTGAATGTGCCCCTGGAGACTGTGATAAGATGACTCCTCTCTGTTCAGAATATGTTTTTTGTTTACTAGAGCCCATCCAAAGGAAAAAGAACGAAAGCCCTGTCTAGCAGGAGAAATGCAGTATGAATATATGGGTTATTTGAAGATGTTGGATGCCTCTCATCAGAGCCTCTCTCTGCCCACTGCACAGTTTTTTTAAAGGTCTAGAAAACCATAAATAATGAGAAGAAGCAATGGATGGGGAGGGTTGGAATGTAGTTAAAGTAACATCCTCCCCGACACTGAAAGCAATTAACAGTTAACATTGTGAAATCGCCGTGCCTCTAAAGAGCCGTTGTATTCTTAACTTGAATTTAGTTCGGTCTCAGCAGTGCAGAACCTGTTTTCCTGTATCACTGATGTTGTTTTATCAAATGTTAACAACAAATTAACTAGTGCTTCAACCTCAATTTTCCAGATTGCTGCTATTGTCTCTGAGCTGAAGGCAATCAGGCAGAAGAGTGACGATCAGAAAAGGTAAAAGTCTCACAGTCACCTCAGACTGTTTTTATTTATAAAGTCACATTCTAGATCTAATTTGCAGACAAAACTATTCGTTCATACATATTTCCCTTCTTCATAAACCTCTGTGTAGATACATGATCTTTTAAAGAACTATATATTCAACTCACATCTGTTAACCTGTAAGCAGTCATTGCAAGTGACTCCAGAGAATCATTTCCTCATCATTACCTTATGTGTAATCCACTTGGTATCTCCTGTCTGGTGATGCGTAGTGTGATCGTGTCCCAGTGGACCAGCATGCTGAGCATTGTAGCAGTTCATCTGCGGCGTATGGGCTTGAGATACGGCGTCATCGACGGGACGGTCAACCCCAAACGTCGCATGGACCTGGTGGAAGAATTCAACACTAACCCCAAGGGACCACAGGTGAATCTCACCCCACAACTCAAGAAACCAAAATATAACACATGATTAGAAGGTACAACCACAAACTGATTGACACTAGACAACGATTAAATCTTTTATTCTTATATTTTCTGATGCTGTTAAAGTTTTGTATTTAAAGAGTTTGCGATTAAAGCAAACTCTTCAAATACAACCTGTATGTGAGTTTGACTCAAAATAAAATGCCCTATAAGCACAGTGTTTAGTCAAAAAAACATTTAAAAACAGAGTAGATAAGGGAGGTTTCCAGGCAGGTGAATATTGCAGCTGTCTGCATTTTCAGAACTTAATGTACTGGACTTTGACATTGAGAATATTGTAAGTAAATATATATATATATATTGATTTTATATTTCTGGCTTTCTGCCAAAGGTGATGCTGGTTTCTCTCTGTGCTGGAGGGGTTGGACTCAACCTCACTGGTGGGAATCACCTCTTCCTCATTGACATGCACTGGTGAGACACACACTGACACGCACAAATCAAAAAGAGTGTCGTTGTTTGCTTTCTTCTGCCTGATGTAGCCCACTGTATATACAGTATAGTACTTGTGTAGTATATTACTGTCCTTAAACCTCTTGTTATTGCTCTTTATTTAACCTTAAACTGAATTTCATTTTTAAAAAATTTGCATAATTAACATTATTATAACCATCAGCTTACCCTTTAGCTCTCAGTTCAACTGAAACTTGAGCTTCTTCCTCTGTTTTCACTTCAACTGTCTCTTGTCAGTGCTTCAATTTCAACTGTCATTCCCATAGAACATTTTACAAGAAAATAACTAACATTTTAAGATATTATAACCTTTTTATAGTGTTTACAGTTGCAGTTTTTACTTGCACACACATGTGAGTACATCAAAAACAGTAGTATTATTTTGGTGCTGTTTTGCAGTGACTTGGTCATCGCAGACATCACAACAAAGTGTAATGCCATTAGTCAGAAGATCTTTTATGTGTTCACTATAACAATGGTTGAGTTTTTAACCTCTGAACCATGAATACCCTGACAGGAATCCAGCCTTGGAGGATCAGGCCTGTGACAGAATCTACAGAGTTGGACAAAGGAAAGATGTCACCATCCACAGGTAACAAATCAGCAGGACATTCAAAGTGTGTGTGGATATTATTCATTATTATATCATATACCGTTATTGGGAAAGAAGAGTATTGAGACAAGTATGAACTAAGGCTTGTTTTTTTTTTTGTTTCTTTGTTTCTTTGTTTAAAGGTTTGTGTGTGAAGAAACAGTAGAGCAGAAGATTTCCGCACTGCAGGTGAAGAAGAAGGAGCTGGCCCAGAACGTGTTGTCAGGAACAGGAAGCACCGTCACTAAACTCTCCCTGGCTGATCTCAAAATCATCTTTGGTGTCTGAGATGGGAGAGAACTGGAGAAGCTGGGCCTCACTCTTAAACCTACTGCTACAAAACCAAACAGCTGTTCACACACATATTCAAATTTCAGGGTATAAATCTTGAAATCACCTAAACCTAAAATACTAGAAGCTTAATGTATGTAATGAGGGGTCTGTCTGTGCTGCCTGACCCCTCTCAGCTTAATCCAGACCAGGATCCTATCTGCTTTACAAAATGATATTGGGCTTTATGTGCCTTAACATTTTATTTCAAATTTTCTTCTATAATTTCAGGACTGCTATTGGCTCTGTTCACTCAGATACATGCTGCGTTTAATTTTAACAGTATTTCAGTTATTCTTAAATTCATTCTGAAACATCATAGAAGCTGCTTCTGCCCAGATCTGCTGCTCCAAAGATAAACTAGTCAGTTGACCATCAATTTCACTTATTTTATTCATTTTAAGAGTCACATGAGGCTGTTACATATAGATAGTAATCAAATTTACCAACTTGAAACATGCACACTAAAATCATCATGTAATTTCTACACACAACTACAAATGTGTATATTGCCTGTATCTGGTTGCAAATGCCATAGACACACAGATTCTCGTGGTCCACAATGACACATTTTCCTGTGTTTATGTCCTATGCTACACTAAGTGTGACCAATAATTATGTATTATATTTTTAGATGTAGATGTATGCATATGTCTTATTATTAATCATTATTATTAGTATTCGTTTCAGGTTGCTTAAACATAGGAGTGAAACAAAAAATTGCTTTTATTTATGTCACCTGATGGAGTTTATTTTCTTTACAGATGTTTTCAGTTTTTTTTTTTTTTTTTTTTTTTGGGGGGGGGGGGGGGGGGGGGGAGATTGTGTATTGTTATGTGTGTTTGGTATGATGCTGTTTAAATAAATTCAGGTCATGGAAGTTCATGTGATAGCCTGCTCTACAAAGTCATTTGCGTTGTAAATTGAAATGAGTTATAAATTAAAAATGTAAGGAAATTAAGTCAAGACGAACTGCAATTTGAGAATTCAAGAGAGGCAATGCCATCACAAGAAGCCACACCTGCCAAAAATACATTGCTCATATTATACTTTTTAAGATATATGAGAAATGTAAAATATTAATTTCCCTATATTTGGATATGATCATGTTTATTTGAAAAAAATATATATAAATGCTGTGTCTACATGCTGGCCACATAATTGAAAAACACAATTATTTACTTTAATCATACCTTGCTACATGAGTAAAAAACTACCATCTTGCGTGTATAACATAACAGTATACAGGAGATGAAATCATGCATTATACTTTTTTAAATTATAAATATGTACTAATAACTAAACTAATATAATAAATATGTACTAATGTTTCGCATCAGATTTATCCCTTGACTCTGGTGGGCCGCCCTGTACCGTCCACCATCTTTTCATTGCTCCCAAATGTTTGCTACGTAAAATCCACAGTGTAGCTTTACGTCCATGCTACCTTTAATAATCATCGGAATTTTGGTATTCAATGTCTAAATGAACGACTCAGTGGAGCGGTAATAGAATGAAAATGTCGGAAAATCGTTGTTTTTTAAGCACACGCAGTCCTATCGGTATTTAGGGGAAACTTTTCTCATGCAAAAAAACCCCACAGGTGGTTAAAACACCTGCCGATGTTTGCCTTCTGTAAATGCTTAGTATCGCGTGTTGCTGCATTATTTCAGGTCAAAGTTTTTAATGTTGAATATCGAAAAGGCACACATAACGCCTAAACAATACCCGCTTACAGGCTTCGACAAAAACTATTTGAAACTACTGAACATTGTGGATGTAAATTAGAAATACGACACGTCAGTAGCAGCATGTGAACGCAGCGCTGAGAGAGCGGGCGGTAACTGGACTGCGCTCGGTACAACCCTCCAAGCTGCAGCGTTAGTACGGTCAAACGGCCCGGTACGCTAGCGTCGTACCTCTCTGAACACAGTGAAAACAGATACATTCTAGCAAAACTAGCCCCAGCCCGCAGCCATGGCGGCCGAGACCGACAAGGTAGAGCCTGCGGACAGCGAACAAGACGAGGAGGAAGATGTATACGAAGTGGAGCGGATCATTGACATGCGGGTGGAGGAGGTAAAAGGAGCTAAATGCTAACTGCTACGTAGCCGCCTGGCTAGTTTGGCAAACATGGCTGGCATTGCTTTCACTCCACTCTCACGACGCATAGCCCACCTACAACGACGTCCACATACTTTCCGTTGTTAAAAACGCATGTCAGTAGTCTGATTTAAATGCATTTTTATGCATACAACGGCCCCTTTGTCATTCAATCATATGCGTTGACTCTTTTGTTGTGGCTCAGCGCTCGTCCATATATAGCATCGTTTTTCTGCACAACTTCTCCCATGATGTCCGCTCGCCTCTCCCCTGCTGAGGCCAAGGACGGACGCTTTGCAAGCTTGCAACTATTTTCATCATGGTTGTTTTTGCCCAGCGGCACAGCTAGATCCCAAAATTTCCGGGAACCACGCTAGTTTCGTTGTGCCTTAAAACAGATTGGCTGGTGAGATGTTGGCAGCGGTAAACATTGTGAATTTACTAACGCCTGCTTATCCCTCCATGGCATCGTGGCCGTCGTATTTGAAACTGCATCTACTGACCAACTAACCTGTTTTTTTTTCACTTTTCTGTGCATTTACAGAGAAATGCGTCTGTTTTTGTGAGGAAACAGTAACGTAATCATTTAGGTTCAAGAGACATAACAGTTTACAATATCTAACAAGTAATGTACTCAAGGCGCGAGTATGTTACAACATGCACTGTACTATTTAATAGTTTGTTGGAATCAGTACTGATACTATTATGTTTTAGCTCTGCTGCTGCTGTTGATGGTGGGTGATTACACAGTTAATTACCACTTTGTTTTGCAAACTAGTAGTGACCCCCCCCCCCCCCCCCCCCCCCAAATCATTTCCTTTCATATATTGTTTACAAAGTCATGCTTTGTCACAAGATGGTGCCACATTTTCACACTTAAATATTAACTAGTCCTTCACTGAGTGATGGTGCAGAGAGTGCTTTTGTGTGTGTTTGGGTGAAACTGGGTTTATGGGTGGCGTTTGTTTTTCCTTGAGTGCCAGCACTTTTTACAAAGCTTAAAGAACTCTTGTCACTCACTGTGTTTGTTTACATCAATTTAAGTAATGAGATTTTTCCTAGCCACTGAAACCCCAAGTCAATTTATGGGATTGAAGGATCAGGAAAAACAGAGGCAACATAGGTTTATCTGTGCTGGGGAAACATTGCTATTTGGCTATGATTGCACTTAGTTGGATTTCCAAGAGTTTTTTTTACATATGTGCATTTGCATGACAAAGACACAGGAATAAGAAAAAGTATTGGTGTGGTAGAAAGTAGAGATCACTACTCAAAGTTGTGACCAACTGAACAAAATTGTGTTGATCTTACTGTCAGCAGTAGAACTGTTAAATAAGTTTCTTTCCACAGCTGCACAGTAAGCTATTTTTAAGACTGGAACATGTTCATGGTGGCAAGAAAACTGATCTCCAGCTTCAGAGCAATTGTCACTGCATAATTAAAGCGGCATCACTTAACATGTATTTAAAGTTCTTACATAAAATAAGAATTTAAATACATAATGATGCTAGTATTGTTTAATAAATATGGTACAGGAGAAATAAATCACTGACAAATGGGGCTTTTCAAACAAATAGTGCTACAAAGTGAAACAATAACATTAAAGTTTGTTTGGCATGTTATAGTTTACATTTCCACCACACCTCATGAACACAGTTGAGATAAGTTACACCAAAAATGGACTAAAAAGCAACCACTTTGAAGAGAGACTTGAGGGACAGCTACTAGCCATAGTGAGTTATTAACACCCTTTGTTTTGCTTTGCTTACTGCTGGCCTTATACTATGAAGAGGCTCTTGAGAGTCTCCATGAGTTTGCATCACCTGTGTAGTAAAACTCAGGATCATTGAGGAGAGCGAAAATACACACACAGTAGGAAGTAAGCTTTGTCTGCTGGCAGCTCTCCAGGAAGATGCAGCCGCTGAAAGAGAGTGTTTGTATGTTGATGCACTATTGCAAAATGTGGGGACAGACTTAACGTGATCAGAGCAGAGTTAAACAGTGATATAATCACAGTTTACACACTGGTCAGGAAGTTGCACTAAACCAGTAATCTAAATGTATCTTTGATATAAGGGACAGGACAGGGACATGTCAAAATAATGAGTTCAACAGAATATGTAAAGTCAGACCTAAGCTGGATATAATTATTGTAATAATTGCAGTAATTTGCTGTATCAAATAAAAATCTATAGATGCCTGTGTCATTGTTGTAGTTGATGCCTGAGCACAGCAGGAGACAGGTGCAAGGAATGTATTGTTTTTGTAGAGCTTATTATTATAATTCTTCTGCAGATATGCATTTTTTTGAGGTGTTTGAGGTGCTTGGGATGTTTGAAAACAACAAAAATTGGAACACACTTCATGACTGGCAAAGTGCTGTCGTGAATGGGCTCGGACATGGCCAGTGGGCTCCATGGATATTGCATTTGGACATGGGTGTGGCACATCAGCTCTATAGCACAGTAGCACCCACTAATTACTTTAAGTGCTTTTCAGGTGGTAGTGGCGCTTGAAACTCACTAAACTTTGCACATGCATCAGAAATGGAGTAACTCTGATATAGCTCATAGTCATGGGTGTGGCAAAATGGCTCAAAGGTGCCCTCTACAAAAAACTTAAACTTATTACTTTAACAAAGTCTTCCTAGAGAATTAACCACATCAACTTTGGTCAGTGCAAGCTTCAAACCCTTGCAATTATATGATTGGAAAGCTTTTGCATTTGCATTGAATGGTGTGTGGCGTGGTGTTGAATTTCCATGTTTCACATGAAACAAGAAGCTGTTGTAACTTGAGTCTACATGGTTAAATCTGCCCCAAACTTCATGTTTGAAAAAAGTCCAGGCTGAGGACATCTATAGGCCAATATTCAGTTATTGTCACAGCACTGCCCACTGGAAACGGGAAATGAGTTATAATACTTTTATGTACTCCTCCTAGCAGGTTGCTGTTTGGATGTTCACATTTTTGCAGCAGTTGGACAAAGAAAAATGCCCACCATTCAAAATATGATTTTCAATTGTACCAAGTCTGTCAGCCATGTTTGCATGTGTGCAGCCATGATCTGGAATGCCAGCCACTGTGTCAGGTTGGTGTGCTGGTGATGCTTGAGTTTCATGCTGTATCTTATCTCTCTCTCTGTTTTCAGGGTGAAGTTCTCTACAGAGTCCGTTGGAAGAATTACTGCTCTGACGATGACACTTGGGAGCCGGAGGCCCATTTGGAGGACTGTCGTGAAGTCCTTTTAGCTTTTAAGAAGTCTTTGGCTGACGCTAAGGCCAAGAAAGAGGCAGAAGCCAAGAAGAGCGTGGTAAGTCTGGCAGTCGGGTATACAGAATGCTACTCCTGCTATATTTACCAAAACAGGAACACTGGTGTAGGTACAGCTTTTACTGAGTACACTTTTAACTTTTACTCATTGTGGCTTGTTGGTTTCAAAAATCACAGCTGATCACAGGTGAATTATTAATAATTATAAAAGCATTGTCAAAAAATGGGAGTGAGATAACTCCTCAGTGCAAAAAGTACAAGTTAGTAGTCCAAGATAACAATTCGTTCTGTATAAACCTGCAGTGGATTTAGCAAAATTAGATATATCCCGGCACTTATTTTAAGCTTTATTTTGCTGTTGCATATATGAAGAAAACTTACTTTCAGTTTTTGTTGAAACTCTACTGAAATGTGAGTGATCTGATCCATAGTGGTCAGTGTTTGCAGCCCTGGATTATGAGACAAATGCACTAGTTTGTTTGCACAGAGAATTGGCCATCAGACATGCCTGAAAAACAATATATGATCTTAAAATGTGACATTGCTTGTCCTGTTCTCCAACTAGAAACTGCTGCCTACAAAGAGCGACGTGTTTGATGCTGACTCAGAGAGCGACAGTGACAAAGACCCTCCAGCTGAGGCACCCATCAAGAAGAAGAAGAAGAAAAAGATCAGAGAAGAAGAAGACGAACCGCCTCCAAAGGACAAAAAGAAGAAGAAGAAAGAAAAACGGAAGGATGATGTCAGGCCTGTACCTGCACCAGAAACAGACGAGGAAGAAGAAGAAGAGAGGGCCCCAACTCCACCCTCATCTCCCAAGGAGAAAAAGACTGAATCAAAAAAACGGCTGGTTGACTCTGATGAGGACGACGATGAGCCTGTTCCCTCAAAAAAACACAAGAAGGAAAAGGGAAAAGAGGGAGCAAAGCACAAGAAAGAAAAGGGAGAGGACGGTAAGAAAAGGAAGGGGAAGAAGGAACGGAAGATTGAAACCTCTGAAGATGAGGCCACTGCACCTCTGGAGGACTACCTGAGTGACGGCCCATCAGAGTCCCAAATGGATGATACTACATCATCAGATACTGTTACAAAGTCAGCCGAAAAGGCACGAGTGGAGTCCAAACAAAAGAAGGGGAAGTGGGAAGTAAAGCTGCAGGGCATTAAGGACCTTATCCAGGATAAAAAGAGCAAAAAGCCAGATGCCGCCCAGAAAGAAAGCAGCCTCCAAAAACTGAAGAACCTTACCTCTAAAAGCAAGGAGGAGAATGCCCCACACTCAGACTCAAGTGATAGCTCCATTTTGCATAAGAAAGCGAAAAGTAAAGGGCAGGAGTGCACATCAGCACCACCCAAAGCTCCGTCTTCCTCCGCATCATCGTCATCCTCATCTTCTGTCACAGCGGCTAGTAGCGTCAAGGTTAAGGAGGAGGAGGTGGTGGTTAAAGAGGAGGTTTTGGGACAGAAGGACACCACAGGCTCCACTAACCTCTTTGAGAAATTCCTATTGAACTGTGAGGCCAAGGATCGCGCCCCACGCCGGCAGCCAGTTCATCAGCCCCCCGTAGAGAAGACAAACAGCAAACCCGCAAAGGTAGAGTATTAGCAATTTGATTTTCACACAAATCTAATTAAGATTTGTTTACAGTTACATGAGGCTACATTATTCACTTTTTAACTGTAGAGATCTGTATACACAAACATGCTTTTTAGGCTCTTGAAAATATTGTTTAGAGAATGTATAAAACATTACAACTTTACTACAACAGATCCACCATCATGGTCCAGTCTAATATATGTAACAACAGTACAGGATTACTGGTGTTGTGTACATATATAGAACCTACAATCAGCGCTGAACTGCTCTGATAAATGGTGATCAATGACCTCACAGCTGTCCTCGGTGTGTCCACGTGGAAGGGGCTTCTCAGCGTACTAACAAGTTTCTACATCTCTTCACCAAACCACTACTTATTTCCCAGGACCAAAACCAGCCGGCTATGGCCATGAGAATGTTAGGTAACCATGAGAAACCAATATGCAATCAGAAAAACAATTTTGCCTATGTGGCTGGCCAAAAACACAGAGGGACTTGAGGGGGATTTATACTCTATCTGAACTGGATGTTGGATGGTTGCATAGCGTCATAAATCCCACAACCCCCACACTTTCCAAAACAGACAATCCAACATCCACACCCATTTCAGGCTGTGATTGGCCAGGTATCGTATTTCTGTGTCTAACTCTTTTGTTCATTTGTTACTCAACTATTTGTGGCATTTTTGATATGAATCACTGAGAGCAACTCCCTGAAAGTATGCGCCGTCGTCCACTTTTTTAAATGGTATTGTCCGCCCGTGTCTATGACAGCCTGCTTTTTCACTCCACCTTCAAGTGTTCGAAACAACCATAAACTCGTTTAATTTTCCGACATGGTCGTACAGTGCGTATTAACCCTCTGCGGTCTGCAATCCCGCCGGTGGTATAAAAGAGAAAGTGAGTTTTTGACCTAGAAACTTTTTTTTTTTAAAAACATAATCCGAAACCTCTAACAGTCTACTTTAAAATATATATAGTTAAAAAGTGAATTTATTTTGTAAGTATGTATAGAGTGAATAAAAAAAAACCAACACATTTCAGGATCTGAGTGAGAAAGCTGCTCTCTATTTGTAAATACAGTAGATCCATTCGTATCACAACGGAATGGTGATTGGACAGTCGTCATTGGGTCATAATGTGGCGAGAAAACGTGTGGTAACACCCAATTTGACATGTATAAACAAGAGCACATGTTTGGGTTGTTTTTTACACTGACCAAGGAAGATGGCACTCAGACACTCTGCTGCTGAAGCCTTGGAACAGAGCGAGGATGACTGCAGCTTCTCCTCCGATGAAAGCAATGAGGACAGTGAGGAAGAACATTACCATTTTGAGCTTCGACTCGATCCCGCTGAGGATGATTGTGATGAGTAAGTGAATTATTTTACCTCCATCAGTTCTTCCAAGGCACAGCACATCATATTGCTTTCTACAGATAAAACCTCTGTCATAAAGCAGCTGCAGCGGCTAAAACTTCAGCAGATGTAACATGTCATACATGTTGCAGTCAACTCATTACCTGTAAACTAAACATAGATGGTATAATTAAATATTTTAATTGCAAGTAGAAATACTTGTTAATATGTTTCATGGCTGAGGTCGTGCTGCTTTGTAAATGAAGAATTCTATGTTTTATTGTGTAAATTGTTTATCAATTCTGATTGATTACACACAAACAATCAGCGATATAAATAGAGAAGAATATAAAAAGTTAAACTAACTTACAGTGCTACATGTAAAAAATGTATGTATTTGTTGTAACCAAAATATATTATTAGCAGCTGAGACATTGTACAAAAAAAATAGTGTGATTAAAGTGCAACTGTTCACATTTTTTTCATTTAATATTTTCCAGAAACTGGGAGAATATTGCACCTGCAAAGAAAAAAGCCCAGTGTCAGCCCAGTCAACAACCTCAGTCCTGGAAGACAGAAAGTGATGACGATGTCGCCCCACCACCACTGGAGTTTCTTCCTGTAAGGGGACCTGGTGTGCAGCTGAACCCAAAGGACAAATACACTCCCCTGGATCTCTTCAAGTTGTTCTTTTCAGAGGAAGCAATGAAAACCGTCTGCCAGAACACCAACAAGAAAGCTGCCAAGCACACGGCAAAAGGTGCAAAGTACAAATGGATGGATGTTGGAGTTACTGAATTTTACAGCTACATTGGACTGATATTCTACATGGCCATAATCAAGCTGGATAGCACAACTGACTACTGGCGGAAAAACAACATCTTTTCCGTCTTTTTCCCGTCACAGGTGATGACACGGGACAGATACCAGAAAATATCCTGGAACATCCACATGAGTGACCCAGATGAGGACAGAGTCAATGATGCCAAGAGAGGAACCTCCGAGCATGACAGACTGTTCCGGGTCAAACCCCTCATGTGCACGATTCAAGATGCCTTTAAGGTCCTCTATCATCCCCGCAGAAATCTCGCTGTGCATGATCAGTACACAAGGACCACACCAAACAAGAGCTGTTACAGGTTGATTGCGCTCACAGACTCCAGCAATGGCTACACTGTGGGCTTAACTGCATACACTGGAAAGAACGACATCCTCACTGTCCAGCGACAGTCTTATGACTGTGTCATGTCACTGATTGACAGAAGGTATTTGGGGTCTGGGTACCACGTGTACATGGACAGTTTCTACACAAGCCCAAAGCTTTTCATGGACTTGTTTGACTCTAAGTATGGTGCTTGTGGAACATACAGAGACTCGAGGAGGAGCTGTCCACGCAGTACTGTCAATGCACTGTCAAACACCTCACCTAGAGGAATGTACCGCTGGATAAGGGACGGTCCTCTTCTCTTTGTGAAGTGGATGGACGCCCAAGAAGTGTCTGTCTGCTCCACCATCCATACAGCCTGCACAGTGGGTGCAGTGCAGAGAAGAGTGAGATCTAGACAGGGTGTCTGGACCACAGAGTCCTTTCCATGCCCCTCACCAGTGATGGAATACAACAAGCTCATGGTAGGGGTGGATTTGCCAGACCAGTTCATACAGCATTTGACAATACAGCACAAAACCTTGAAGTGGTACAAGAAAGTCTTTCTTCAGTTTTTGGACATTGCTGCACACAATGCTTACATTCTCCACAAAGAACTCCTGCAAGAGGACACCATGACCCACAAGGCTTTCATGGAGGAGCTCACTGCACAGCTGTGTGGTGTGACACAGAATATACAGAAGACCCCTGCACAGACAGAGAGAGTTGTTCACATGCCAGTTCCTGGGTCTGAGCTCCCCAGTGACTGCAGGATGAGGGCTTCCGCTGGACGCAAGACCTGCGTGTATTGCAGGAGGCAGAGGGGAAAGCAAATAAAAACCCCTTGGAAGTGCAAAGCGTGTGACGTCTACCTTTGCCTTCAGCTGGACAGAAACTGTTTTGAAGCTTGGCATCCTGATAAGGACGGATAAGGATGCCAGATAAGATAATATAGGAATATGTTCTTGTTCTTCTGAAGGAAATGCTTGTCAGATGTTCCTCAAATTTTGTTTTGTTTATTCAAATTTTATCCATTGAATGTTTAGCTTTGAACACAGTATTTTAATAAACTGTGAAGAAAGGCCTTTACTGTCTCCTCTTCTTTTACAATTCGCTCTTTCTTTCGAAACTTATAGTTTGGGGGGGGGGGGGCACTTTTTAGGAATCAACGCTTTTTAGATGTGTGCAATGTATGAAAATGTCAGGGCATGTCAAACTACTTGAAAAGTGGCTGACAGGCCTCAGAATCCAGAGGAGCACAAGTTCTAAGAGACCATGAGTCAGCGCTTGAGTGAGCACTGGTCTTGAGGAACAGTCATCCTCAGAGGTGAAGACCTGAAGAACTATTTGAAGGCAGTTGTGGAGTAGCACCAGACAAACCTGCATGCACCACTGAGAATAATGTCAGATATTTCTGTAATGTCATAATTGCCTTTGGTTGCCAAATTGAAAAGGGGGTTTCAGAGATTTCAGAGCAAATACTTAATTTTCATTTCAATATATTCGATAGGAATACGGTGAACCAAAAATATAATTTTTTAGGTTAACTATGACTTGTGTCAAGCTAACATTGATGTCTGCTCAGTTTTCTTGGAAAATTACAAGATGTTAACCATGTTGTTCTCTTTTCTTCTTTCTTTTTTTGTGCCGACATTAGCTAATAGGAAAGATTGAGAAGATCCCCAAGACAACCAAAGAGTCTCCAGCTCAGAAAGCAGAGGCTGAGAAGACGGAGAGGACCAAGCAATCAGATGGTATGCATGACACAGAGGCACTGGAAAAAAAACATGTAGTTATTGATGTTGCTTAGTTTGAATTCAGTTAAAGAGCAACTTAACACCAGGTTAAAACAAACAGAATTCAGTAGGTAAAATGAGAAAATAAAGTCAAAGTGTGATTGCACCTTTAGCCTCTTTCCTGCAATTCCCCCAAAAGTTCAGGTGCTGGTGTCTAGTTTGTTTACATGTCGCTCATTAAAAAAACAAAAGGACTGTATCATACAAATGGGGCTCTTATTTTTTAATTACAACTTTATATGTGGTTCTGTTGTATTGTCATCTTCCAAACAACACTACAGTTGTTACCACTTCATATTGTTTTTTGGTTTTTATTATTGGTTTGGATACATTCCAGTTTTGTGGAAGGTATAATGATTTTTATTTTAATATTCTCTTATACAAAAGGAAATTCCATAATTTTGTTGTTCATATTCAATTTCGTAAATGAAATTGTGTACACTCTCCTACATTTTAATGGAGATGATTAAATTATTAAGATTTAAATTAAAATTAAACACTAATATTAAATTATTAGTGTCTCAGACAGCTGACAAACTCACATTCCTCCCCCACGAGTTATAGCACTACTTAATAAATATGCCCACTGGGCAATGGCAGAATAATCTTGAAGATAAAAGAAGCTGATGTTTTCTCTAGGTTTGATTGGCAGCTGTGACAAACGGTGAAAGGTAGTTTAGGCTCTTAAAGACACATCTCCAAAGAAATATGACAACTTGTCTGCTCCCCCTTTTAGTCCCCAGACCCGGGCAGAGTTATGGCTTCAACCTGGACAGTGATGAGAGGGAAGGAGAGGAAAGTACGACAAAGCTGAAGATTGGAGAGGATTCCCGGGAGCGGAGGGAGAAGCCAGAGGAGGCGCAGCGGCCTAGCTGGGAAAGGAGAACCCCAACAGATGACAGGCGGAAGAGGAGAGACGACAGTGAGCCCAGACTCTTCATGGCTTGTGATGACAATCAGGATGCCCAGGACCCACCAGAGGGCGCTGACAAATCTGGTAGGTGTCTGACTGGCCACTGAACACATGCTTCATATCTAATGATATAGTTCCTTCTGCACAGTTGAGATGTCAGTTTTGTTGATTTTTGACCATTTAACATGTGACTTAAACATTTCTACAAAGATTGTGGTTTGAAACATGTGTGAGCAAGAATTTCGGAGACAATAAGAGGTGATTTGAATTCAGTATGCAGGGTTTCAGCCAGCCAACTAACAAGGCATCTCTCTGCATTGTGTGTTTTGTACAGACAAGGGCCAAGCCACTTTGAGCCTTGGAATGGACCTCAACCTGGACTGGATGACTCTGGACGACTTCCAGAAACATCTGAACGGAGAGGATGAGATTCTGTCAGGTCCACCGTTATCACCCAGTGAGTGTTTTCCTCTCTCATCTTAGACAATTAACTGACTGCTGTCTAATGAGTTTCTACTACTGCTATCTAGAAGCATTTTTTTTTACTTGGTCAAGGAGATTTACAGAGACACATGATTGTATTTGGAATTTAAACTCTTACCTCACAGCAACAAGACAGTTTTTCCTAACATCAACATATGATTGAGATAACTAAACACAGGGACACAGGATTAAAATTTGTTTTACAGTGTTTTCAATTCACAGCACACAGTCTGTCATTACAGCCGTTCTGCAACACCCTATATTGTTCATGTAATCGCATGGACATCCAAAATGGCAACAACTCTGTTATATGATATGTTACTATGCAGACGGCTGTATTAGAGCTATGTTGTGACGAAATTTATGTCACTTGGACCCTTGCGTGTTTATATATGCAGAAAGTACACTAGCTTCAGATGGCTGCAATTAAGTTTACAACTGTTTTCCCTCAGTTGTTATTCTAATGAATGGATTAGTTATAAACCTGTAATCTGCAAAGTCTTAAGACTTAAGACTGTCACTTTTAAATGAGGTTATTAGATTGTTTGAGTAAAAATTGTCTTTATTTAGTCTTGATTTTATTTCTTGTACTTTTACAGTATCTTGTCAAATATTTTTGATTGTAGCCTCTATATTATATACCTTCTCTAAGCTTCATTTGGCTCTGCTTTGTTCCTGTTAGGTGAGTTGCGGGATGCTGTGAAAAGTGGAGATTACATGGCTGTAAAATTGGCCCTTAATTCCAAAGAGGACTACAATCTGGACCAAGAGGTATGTTTTCTCTATCTTTGATCTTTCCTCTTCAAAAAAATATATTTATTTTTTCTGTAAATTTTATTCACCCAAGCCATCCAATTTATTATCTGCTGACTTGCTTGTATCCTATTTCTTCTTAATTGACATATATCTCAAGGCTTCTTTAGCCTTCAATTCCAAGACAAAAACCACATTTTCCAATTTTACATCTTGCACCTTGGTTGCCCCAATGTGTTTGAGTGGGAGAGATTGTGTGAACACATGAAAGAAGTGAGTGAATTTTGTGGGTGAGCAGTATAACACAGTGCTGTGTTGAAGAGTGTGACCACTTGCCTGACCAGGTCCTCTGCGTTGCAAATGCATGAACTGACGTCGCGTTAAAATTACACTTCATTTTGCGGACGGAGAAGCAACATGGTTGGAAATATGTGAAAAGCGTTTGACATAAACAGTGTTGTTGTTGTTGTCTGATGTGGAATGTCGGCACGCCAGAGACATTCCACATTAACCGTTTAAAGCAGGAGCTTGAAGCTGCTGAGGTGGTATTTGTCATGCCACATTACAGTTGCTTGTAGTCACAGATAACACAATCTTTTTTGTGATTTGACTAAATCAAATTTGGGACTTCTATTGAGAACCTTCCAATAAATTTGCAAGTTAACATTAGGACACTGGCTCACAAGGACGACATGACAAAGCGGTGATGACTCAAGCTAGTACATTCAAAGGATCTCAGTAGTAACCAATACATTATTCGTAAATGAACAGCTAAAGTTTTTTTCACAACTGTGCATCAGGGAATCTGTCTCTTCAAGATCTACGTCGAAAGACTTTACTGTTTCGTATCTACTTCTTATGCATCGCCTCAAGATGTTTTTTGCACCTCCAAAGCACCTTTTGCAACAAACCCAGGTAAGAGTGTGACCTTAAATGTTTTCTTAAATAGATTTATGGGGGGGGGGGGGCCATCTGTTTAGCAGGGTTATTATGGGGTAAATATTTTTCAAGGCAGTAATTTAATCCAAAGTACAGCTTGTTTGATTTGTTTGATTTCTGTATTATGAAGCAGAAACGACTGTCTAGTAAATAGTACATACTATGAGTTAAATGGCCATTTTTCTTCTGTTGAATCTGAACTGTATTGTTCTCACCTGGGCAGAATATTTAAAAAGTTAAAAAAAAATCCTATATGAGATCTTACTGTCTGGCTCTGTTGTCTGATGGATGAAGATAAGCTATCTTATTTTGTCACCCTATTGCCATGGCATCCTTGACAGGGCTGATCATTCAGTTGTTTTTATATCGGAATTGTGATTGGAAATAATACTGTTTAATTATTATGACATTGTTTCTATTTAAACTGATATACAATGTCTTAAAAAAGGTGAAAGTTTTAGTCACGTTTGGGATTCCCTAGCTTAGCCAAACTACAAAATAAAAGCCTTGGCTATTGTCTGGGTAATATTCTTTGTGCATGCCACCATCCTGTATCATTCAGATGTTTAAAATGGCTCTTTAATGTTATGTGTAATTGGACATTATATTCATTCATCATTATATATTCATCATAATGTGTGCACATTAGAGACTATGGTGTCATTTTGTCTTGCAGTGAACAAACCAATGGAAGAAGACACTGAAAACAAGAAGTAATAGGACAAGATGAACCCTTTGAAGCAGGTACATACTGTATATGCTTTCAGAACATGTATCATCATCATTATCATAACACATATGCAGCATGCACCAGTTAACTATCATATATTAAGCACCTTTTTTTTATCTTACCATCAAAAAAATTTAATTTGAAAGGATAGATGACATCTAAATAAAAACTAATGTTTAGCATCTGTATCCGGCCTAGGCCTGGACACTGTTAGATGTTTTTCAGCCACACTGAAAGCATGTTGTGTTAAATCACCAGTTTCATAGATTTTACTGTAAAAACACTGCTATGCTAAGCCAAACGTTTTTGTATATATAACATCAAAAGTAACATAATTATTTGTTTTGATTGCAAGCCATGAATGTAGGTCTAGTTATCAGTGCATATTCTGTTCTATCCATGTAGCATTTCATCCAACACCCCATGACTACATATACTTGGTTAGACATTTACAATGTCAAAACACTGCTTGATCCAATAAAGCCATTAACTGTTCTCGAATGGGTCACATGTGGTTTTTGTACCGGAGATTTGAGAGGTGTCAGGGGTTTTTTGATACTGATGTTGGGCTAAAAAGTGATGTGTGGCCATCACATTGACTTTTGTCTGAATGAGCTTGGATCTTGGTGGGGCATTGCCAAGGTGCTGATGCATTAAACAGCAGTTCAAAAGTGTGCAAAGGATTTTGACAAGGCAATACCAAAAAAAAATATTGATTTATCAAACCAAACTCAAACCAAATTTTAGCTTTTGTTTTTTTTTTTTCTCCCGCCTTTATTTTCTAATTGGTGTGTGTTTCAAGCTTACTTAATCAAATTATTCATGGGATCTGATTTGGCGATGAGTCTTACATATACTTGTTCTTTTACAGGCGTGTACTATTGGTGAGAAGAGGTCATTTGAAGCAGAGAGGAGCTTGATTGAAGAGAGAAGTTCGAATGATGCTCTTAGGTTGACTTCTAACCTTGACAGTGCAAGAAATGAAGAGGGTACTCCAAGAGAGAAAGAGAATATCCCACAAGATTTGGATGGTCCAAATGATGTCGAAAAAATGCCATGCTGCCCTGCCAGCACAGACACTGAGCAAGTGACAATGAGCGAACATGAAAATATCCAAAAAGATGGGAAGGATATAACTGAATTCAAAAACACTGTTTGTGATTCAGCTACAGAGCAGGAAAGGAAAGGAAAGGAAGACCAGAGGCAAGCAGAGGAAGACGGGATGTCAGATGACACAAAAGTGGGTTTATCAAGTGAAATGAATTTGAACTTTGGTAATTCAAGTCCAACCACAATTGAAGAAGGGAAGCTGACAAGGGACGATGAAAAAGTGGAGCAAAAGGGCATTGCTGACAAACAAAGTATCCCTGAGGAAGCAAATTACTCAAATGATGAGGCAGAGGGTGTGGTGGCAGGTCATTCAGAAAGTACAGATAAAGTTCTGTCTGAGTTGGGCACAAAGGAGATTGCTAAAAGGCGATCATGGCGCCAAAGGAAAACTATGGAGAAGAAAGAACCAACACGAGCAAGTCTGAGGACCTGTAAGAAAGTACTTGAAACAACACCTAGCACAGTGGATGACGAGAAAAAAGAGACAAGCAAGAAACATTTCTGTCTATATTGCAAAATGGCTTTCACCCAACTTTCAAAGCATTTGGAAAGGAAACACGCAGAGGAAACAGATGTTGCCCATGCAATACACTTTCCCAAAGGTTCCAAAGTCAGGCAGTCTTTGCTTGACCAAATTCGAAATAAAGGAGATTATGAGCATAATTGCCATGTTCTCAAAAGTGGTGAGGGGGAAATTGTGACTAAGAAACAGGTGAAAAATCCCAGCATATCTGTTCGTGACTTCCTGCCCTGCCAACACTGCTTTGCTTTTTATCGCAAAACAGATCTATGGAGACATGAGCGGTCGTGTAAGGCCAGAAAGGGAGATCAGAAATCTACTGAAAGGATAAAAAGAGGCAGAGTCTATAGCGCTGCCTCCCGGCTTCTTCCAATGTCAGAGTTCTTAACCGGAGGCTGTGAGGAAATCATCCACATTATGCATCAAGATGACATCTCGAGACATATCAGAAACGACCCACTTATTTGTAAATATGGCAATGCGTTGTCTGTTAAGTATGAACATGACAAGTCTCAGTTTGCTTATATTGCACAAAAGATGAGGGAACTAGGTAGATTTGTGCTCGCTGTAAATGAGCTTGACAAGAGTGTGAGGTATTTGCATGAAGTATGTCTACCCTCCAAATTTGAATTGGCTGTTGCAGGAGCAAAAAAAGTTAGTGGTTTTGATCCCAGTTCCAGTAAGTTTAAAACTGTTTCCCTTGTCTCAAAGATCGGCTACTCTTTGAAACGAGCTGCAGAAATAGCTTTCGGGGAAAGTCGCATGACAGAGGACTGTGAAACAGAAAGTGAAGTGAAAAAGTTCATACAGCTTCTTGATACAAAATGGAATGAGTGTTTTTCTCGCAAAGCTCTTGCATTATCTCTAAAGCAAGATGTCAAAAAAGTGGAAGTAGACAAATCAACCGTGACGGAAGATTTGATAAAACTCCACAGGTTTATCGCAGGGGAAGAAGATGAAGCCAGGAAGGAACTGAAAGAAAGTCCTAGTTTGTCAACATGGAAAAAGCTCAGCGAGGCCACTCTAGCAGATGTGTGTCTGTTCAACAGAGGAAGGGTAGGAAATATTGGCAGAATGCTCTTGCAAACTTACACTTGCAAAAAGAGAAGTGGAACATTTGTGCCCTCTGCAGATCAGATAAGGAAAAGCACAAAATTGGAGCTGGACCTTGGTTCCAATTTCACTAGGTTGGAACTAGAAGGTCAGTATGGAAGGAACATGCTGGTTCTACTAACAGAAAGGATGGTTTTGTCAATCGACTTACTCATTGAAAATCGAGAACAAGCGGGAGTGTCAAAAACTAATCCATACCTGTTTGCACGGACTGAAGGTCCATCGTTCATCAGAGGATTGGATTGTTTCCGAAGGGCTGCGATGGAATGTGGAGTTAAAAACCCAGAAGCACTTCTCTCCTCATCATTAAGAGAGCAAATTGCCAGCTACTGGCAGCTAATGAGCCTAAGTGAGCATGAATTGGACCAAGTAGCTAAGCTAGTGGGACAGAGCAGCCAAGAGTGTTACAATCTCTCAAAAAATGCATCACAGCTGGAGGAAGTGAGCAAACAATTGCTCAAGATGGATCGCACACTGCCATCAAGTCCACCCCTCACGGCAAAGGATGGTGAGTACCGTTTGCTCTTTTAGATATTTTTACATTAATGTGTTCATTGATATCAAACGTTGCATGGCATGTAGCTCTCAAAGTATAGCTAACATTTGACAAAATAATCTCCACTTACTTGCTTGGAAGTTGTCGTGGAATAGTTTTTCTAATCCCAGTTCATTCTTGATGTTTGAAACCAGGGTAGACAAAACAATCTCCACTCCAGGTCCATTTACGTGCTTGTTCTGGAGCATTTGACAGTATCACACAGTCGTGGAAACAGCAGCTTACAAAACAAAATCCTGCTTTTTCCAGACTCAAAAATGAACTGGCAAGCTCTTAACATAGTTCTGTCATTTTAAATTGAGGCACTACATTGTTAATTGGATAAAGATTTTATTTTCTTTATATAACCATGATTCTTTACATTTTTTATCATTTAGGCACTGTACAGAAGGGTGCTTTAAAGAGAAGACCATGGAGTGAGAAGGAACAAGCTGCAGTGAAGCGTTATTTGAGTGAATTTATCACAAGTATGAAGGTCCCAGGCAAAAAAGAGTGCAATGCTTGCATAGCTGCTGAACCAGATCTTTGTGGAAGATCTTGGACAGATGTCAAAAACTATGTACACAACACACTACAGACAATACGGAGGAGGAATAACCAACAGAGGTCTGAAGGGAATGTAAACATTTTGAATCCAAAGAGTCCTAAAGCTGGAGTCCAAACCACAAAGAAAGATTTGGAAGATGCAAACGTTGTCTGTAGTCTGACAACAGTGCATCCAGATCACCTGACAGAAAGTTCAAATTGTTGTATGACAATGGCACCACCAACAAACTTGAGAGAATCAACACCATTCCCCCAAGAGATGGCTTCAACTTATGCATCCTTGTGTTCCACTAGTTCAAATATGGTCCATACAAGTCAGCCATTGATTTCTACTTTCACACCATTGAATGCTACTGATACACAAGTGGTTCCTACATTTACTCCACACAACACTACAAATGCACTAATGCCTCCTGCATACACTTCAGAGAACAACCAAATTCTTCCAATGTCTCCTTCGTATACACAGAATGCTGTAACTATGCCACCCCCTTCTGTGTATACACCACAGGATACTACAAGTTCAACAATGATTCCTACTTTTAGTCCGCTGAATGCTCCAAGTACCTCAATGGTTCCTACATTTACCACATTAAATACTCCAAGTGCTCCAATGGTCCCTGCATTCTCTCCACTAAATGACAGAAGTAGGCCTATCGTTTCTTCATTCACACCTCTGAACCATTCAAGTACACCAGCTTACCCCACAAGCTCACCCAGGGCCCCTACAACCGCACAGGTTGTCCCAACAATCCATGGACCCAGTGTTCCCGACAGAGCACCAGTGGGACAGGATGGTGCACCCATGTCCACTCCAGGAAGACAAGTCACTCCTGCTGTCAAGCCTCAAAAGAGAAACAAGAGGTTGTGGAGTGAGGAGGAACAGGCAGCGGTCAGGCGTCAGCTTGGAGACTTCTGTAAACTGGTGAAAGTGCCGGGCAAAAAGGATTGTGATGCATGTTTAGCTGCTGAACCTGCCTTGAATAGCAGGACATGGAGGGAAGTCAAGTATTTTGTACATAACTCAATTCAGTCAATGAAAAGAAGAGGGCACGCGGTTGCCTCCAAACAAAGTGGAGGACAAGAACCAGAGACTCATAATTCAAGCACGGATTGGGATGGTCCCGTTTATTTGTCCCTGTAAATATTTGTAATGGACATGCTCGAAAACAGTTAGTGCGCAATGAGACTTTGGAGGTGTGTGAGGACTGTGGCTTTAACCCCATATTATTTGGGGCTTAAAAATTCGGCAGATGTGAATTGTTGTGAAATGTACTGTCAGTGAATCTTGGTCTCCGTAGTCATACAGATCATGACAACGTTTACAGACTGCCCTGCCATTCTTTAAACCACACATTTTAAAAAGATCATAAAGTATTCTGAAATAAGTCCACCAGACCAAGCTATTGGTGTACTGTTGCATGAATATACACTAAATGGGTGGAACTAAGGATGTTTGTACTGTAACTTTGGCTCAGAAAAAGCAGATATTAATGTTTAATATGATTATACGTATGTAACACAGTCAATTATATAACTGTCAGTTTGTCGGATCATCACAGGTTATCTCTAGGAAGTGCTCTAATTTAGATATGTGATCATTTAGTAAACGTGATCCTCATTTTGCCAGGATTTGCAACCTGCCACCAGTCATTGGCTGTGGGCTGTGGCAAATAGCCGCTGTGGCACCCAAACACGCTTTCACATTTTTAGACACAATGTTAATGTAAATGGTGAAAGCAGTGGCTGAATTGTTTGGGGCAACCTTGAACAGGTTTTCCCACCCTGCACTGAGCAAAGGTAGCCTCAGTGACTGTACATTTCCAGAGGGATTTTTAATCTTCTTTACTTCAAAATGTACTTAGACATCAATCTTTCTGCCTGCACTGTTTTCAGTAGCATTTTTAAGAATTTTGATGATCAAAAACTTACCAGCAAATATTTGCAGCCAATCCCTCCAACATGATAGATGTACATTGACTTGCTTTACATAATTCCTGAATGCCTGACCCAAGTGTACTATATTCTTGCTTTAGCCAGTAGCCTAAATTGTAGATGGCCCCTGATAGCCTGCAGCAGTAATGGCATACCTTCATTGTGGATGTTAGAGAATTAGGAGCACTTAAATATTAAAAACTTTTGTTTTTCTTTGAAGATCCTGTTGCTAAATGTCTGTTATTTTCATTTATATGTGTTTTATTTTCTTTTTCATGTGTATTAATAAGCTGCAGAAAGGTTTGGTTGTATTTTTGTATCACTATACAGCAACTGTATAGAAAAATTTTAGTACTTTATTGTATTTGATGTACTCTAATTTGAGGTAAAATACACTGCATTGGTCTCATTTGTTTAACTTAGTTTTAAGCTTTTATTATCAGTATGATTATGACATTAATATCCAGTTGCCAAGATCAGATTGCCTTATTATTTTGAATATTAGGTTGATGAGTTATTTCTATTCATGTTGATTCTAACACAACATAGCAAGTACAATCTTGATACTTGTTGTGTGTTGTTAATCATGTTTAAATCACTACCTGGGCTGTTGCACCACAGTGTTGGATTATTTAAAAACATTTTTGCAGAAGTGAAGCATTATTACACTAACAAAATTTTTTAAAAACATTAAAAATAGAAATGACATCCTTTAGCCCTTTTGAATATAAAGGGCTGGATACAGAATGGTGCAATCTTGAATATACCACACATTAGATAGTGGATGAAATGATTAATTCCTTCCCTGTAATATAAGAAAAAAAATCTGATTTTCCTAATATTATCACCGATGACTAAAAGAAATTAGACATTTAATTTTAAGTGGAATTTAGTTTATATCTTTTACCTACAAACCTTGTTGAAGGTTTAAAACAGAAAATTGAACACAGGTTCGGGCTTTTGTCACTACAGTGTTTATTTTACACTAGATATTCAGCAAGAGCTGTGAACAATGTGTTCTGTTAGGTCAATTGACTTTGTAGTTGTCTTTGTTTAAACACATAAAAAGAAAATTGCAATCTACAGTTTATTTTCTTTGTGGTCAAAAGGAGCAGAAGTTATGGTCAAAGAGTATCAGACAGCACTGCTGCTATTTGTCAGGGACAAAAGCTTTTGTGTTATTTGCCTCAGTAGAAGCTGTAGAGTAAACAGTGTTCACCCTTTCATACCAAATGCATTAGTGCAGACCTGGGTCACTTCACCCATTTCAGCCATTCACACCAATGTTTTTTCTTATGTTGTTGCCTCAGTGTGAATGGGGTATATCTGTGTTGCAGTATATACATTAGTTACAGCTGTAGCTGAGGTGCAGCTGCATCTGGATAAGAACTGTGTGGAAGTTCGGCAAATGAGACGAGAGCGTTGAGACACTACCATTGCTGTTTGATGTTGCAAAGCAAAGTTTTTTTTTTTCTTTTATAGTAGATAGCTTTCTTTCATCATTCTTGTATACACAGTGCGTGTTACTCTTCATCCTGTTGTAATTATGTTGCCTTCAGTTAATGCTTCTTATTAAGTATTGTAAGGAACTTATAACTTCTGCTTGTACAATAAAATGCTCCTTGGCTTAAAATTTGAAAATTTGAAGATGTTATGAAAAAAGATGTTTATTGTTGTTTTTGTTAGTTTTTGCTTTTTTTTCCGTTCCCCCTTTTTGAAAAATGTTTAGTAGATTTTATTTGTAATTGTAGTATTGAAATTTACACAAGACTAAAGAATCTGCCGTCTTTGATCAAAAGACTAATGTCAGCATGCTAACATGCCAGTGTCGAGCAGGTCTAATGTTTACCATGTTCACAATCTTAGTTTTGCTATTTGCTAAATAGCAATAAACAGTACACATCACACCCCCTCAAACATTCACTGGTCACTTTGTGCTATGGGGCAAGATATGAATGTTTGCATGTTCTCCCTGTGGCTGCATACATTTCCTCCCTTTTCCTCCCAGTATATAAACATCCAAGGTTGTTGGGTGTTTGTCTACGTTGGCCCTGTGATAGACTGATCACCTGTCCAAGCCGTACCAGTTCTCCACAATCCTGCAGAGGATGATTTAGATACTGGATGGATGCATGGGATTGGGATTGTTCAGCTCAAACTTTTCTGCATTTAGCAGCATAACTCCAGAATCCGATTAACTGAACACAAGCCTTCCTCAGATACAGTTGTAAACTATGAAGTGCAAAGGAAGGACTAACACTTCGTCTGATAGCGCAACACAATGGTTGACACATTGTAGCTTTAAAAGAGCTGTAGTTGATGATAACCTTGTGTTTTGTCTGCCGTTGTAAAACAGCAGAATTCAAAAAAACCTATTTGAGAAATCTTTGTTTTAAGTGTCATGGATTCCCCCTCATTAGCTATAACACAAAACAAACTCTTAATTAACAATCGTCAGCAGGTTAGTGAGAAGCTGGTCATTTTTACTGCCTTTCGTCTGTGACACTGTAGCTTTGTTCCTGTCTTCTTTGTCCACAGGACGTTAGTGGCATGTCCCTGAGCATGCTGGCAGCAGCGGGGGGGCAGGACGACATCCTCAGGTTGCTGATAAAGAAGGGGGTGAGGGTGAATGGACGACAGAAAAACGGCACTACAGCCCTAATGCACGCTGCTGAAAAGGTAAGTCAGCGATATACTGTTATACTGTTATTTATGGACATTAAATTTCATCTAGAATTTCCACTGAAGTCAGAAACAGTCAAAACTTATCACAAAAAACAGATATGTATAGGTTTAACTTTAATTACAATTGCCTGACATATGGTTCTGTTAAGGCACAGATGCAAATGATTAATGATAATACAGACTTATGTAATTCCTGTTAAGATCCACCCAGTCTTTATCTAAGACTCAGTGACGTGTAGAATCTCCCGAATTCAATATTGGGTCATGTTTGAATGTAAATGTAATGGTACACCTTAAATGATATATTAACCTTTATAAGGGATGAAATGGCTGAGATTAAAATGCAGACAGTCACCACTTTTGTTTATTCTCTCACAGCTTTAATTTTATTTCTGTCCTCTATCAGAATTTCTTGACGACCGTTGCTATCCTTCTGGAGGCGGGCTCCTACCTCAACGCTCAGACACTAAGCGGGGAGACTGCACTGATGAAGGTAACGCTGCATTTCACACACAAGCCTCGTGTTTGATAATAATTTGCTGATAATCATTTAGCAATCTGGAATTGAATTGCGATTATTACGATTGTAGTATGTTGTCTAAATTAATTACTTCAAGGAAATTGTTGAAGGAATAGTTCAATATTGATGGGAATATGTTTATTTGCTTCCTTTCTGAGAGTCAATACCACTCTCGTGTCTGTTTGCTAAGTATGAAGCTACGGCTAGAAGACCGTTAAATCCGGAGGAAACAGTTGTCCAAGGGTTAAAGGAATCCTCATGCCAGCACCTTTAAAGCTCAGTAACTAACACAGAGGCTCTGTTGGTTTGCTGGTGACATCATGGTGGCAACAAGACTCCAGAAAGTCACTACGCCCCGGCTAATATTCCACCACGTAACCCTGCCGTTTGTCATTTTTCACTTCAGTTTTTTGTGCAGAATAGACAAAGGAGGTATATTGTTTTGCTAAATGAGCTTCAGATGTGCTGGTAGGTGGATTCAATTTGTGCTAAGCTAAGCTAACCCTCTCCTGGCTGCAGCTTTGTAGTTATCATACAGACATGAAAGTCATATCAAATCCTCTCATCCGACTCTTTGCTAGTAGCATATTTCCCAAAACGTCAAACTGTTCTTTCATATAGCAACATTGATTTCAGTCATGTCACCCAGCCGCCCGGAAACGTCACGCACAAGCCGAGCAGGGTCAGAAATGCATCAACTAAGATCACAATAAAAGTCTTGAACCAGGTTGGATGACGTGTTTTTAATCTTCAGAGTAATGACAGACATGATTTATCCTCCACTGCATCGTCTGGAAAGTGTTTAAGTTTTAGAAGAAGTTGAAGAAAAGAACCTGTAATGTACCTTTAGGCCTCTTATCCAGCAGACTGAATGACAGCAGTAGGGATCTATACATGGGACACAGGTTGTGTTTGTAAAGGTTTCCCGTCTTTCACTTCAGGCATGTAAAAGAGGGAACGCTGAGGTAGTGCGCCTCCTGCTGGAGTACGGAGCTGACTGCAACATCCTGTCCAAACACAAACACACGGCCATGTACTTCGCCAAGCTCAGCAACAACCTGGTGGTGTGCGACCTCATCAGGGACCACATCAGCGTGTGAGTGCTAGGGTGGAAACGATTGGGAGACGTGTTTGTGTGTTTGTGTGTGTGTGTGTGTGTGTGTGTGTGTGTGTGTGTGTGTTTGTGTGTATGTTGGAGGAAAAACAAACATAGAAAGCATTTAGATGTTGCAATACTTTTTGGTTGTATGTTTTTGTTAAGTGTAGTCATGCTCTACTCCATCTTATCCATCCTGTAACTCTTTCTGTCTCTGCCGCTCAGGTTGTCCAGTGTGGCGGAGGACACCATCCGAGCGTACTTTGAGTCTCGTCTCGTGCTGCTGGAGCCCGTCTTCCCTCTGGCCTGCCACAGGCTTTGCGAGGGGCCCGACTTCTCCATGGAGTTTGCCTTCAAGTCGCAGCCACAACCGGAGGGTAAAAACACAACTTTATCATCTCACACAGCTTAAGAGATGATGGTGCTGAGCTGATCATGTTATTGATCCATCTGAGTCTCTCAACAATGGGCTTGAGACCCAACAAAAAGTCACTTGATATGGAGACAACAGTGTGGGAGCAGGGTGTCTGCAGGTCTCAGAAAAACAGCCTTATATAAGCTACGAAAAATATTTTTCTTGCACAATTATATCTATTAAAAATGGTCTGCTGGGAGATGTTATACCTTTATATTACCTTATCTATAAACTACATATGAGACCAGTAGAGCTCTGGATTGTGCATGTAGGAAACTGTTTAAGCTTTTTTTTAATGGAATTACGTTTCATCATTATTATTATGATTATTATTATGTTTTACTGTCAATTTAGCAATAATGTGAATTAACAAATTTGTTGATAAACTTGTTAATTGATACTATGCTACTAAGAATCATTATTATTTTTTAATTATTTATTATTATTATTTTTTTTTTTTTGTTACTTAATAAATAGCTGTATTGTCCCTACTGGTTTTCCCTCGTTCTTTGACCAATATGAACATGAAAAAATCTTAATAAGTGTTTGTTGAAGGAGGGATAAAAATTGAAATACCTTATTGATGCCATAGTGTGGTGCATCTCTGTAATGGTATTAAAAAGCCTTAAATTTAATCCGCTGAACGCTCTCTACCTTTTTATCCTTTCTTCTCTTCCTCTCTCATGATACCCTCGTCTCTCCTTCCTTATTCCAGGCTCAGGAATCCTCCTCTTCATCTTTCACGCCAACTTCCTGAGCGAGATCACAGCCAGGCTCTGCGGACCCTGCAGCGTTCATGCCGTGGTGCTCAACGACAAGTTCCAGCTGCCCATCTTCCTGGTTGGTTCTTGACAAAAACAGCTGTTCGGTTACACAGAAAAGCTCAATTTTACCAAGAGGTGCATCAGAACAAATTAAATAAAACGAGGTTGGGAGAATCCAAATGTGTAGAATAAGATTAGAAAACATACAAAATAGCAGCAGATCAAAAGTGGGCAACATATAAAAATAGTTATAATCCATTAGATTCATTAGAAGGAGTTTGCCATTCCTGCATGGGATTCACATTACCTATTACACCACCTACTTCACAGGAAACAACTGTATGTATGCATTACTGTTTATAACTGAATTTATTTTAGTAAATCTTTTTATATTAAATGCAAATATGCTTGTTTTCCTAATTTTTTTCCATGTTTGTCTTCAAACATTCAGGATAGCCACTTCATCTACTCCTTCAGCCCAATACCAGGCATCAACAGACTCTTCATTCGTCTAGCAGAAGCACCAACAGCCAAGGTGAGACACCAATCAGGTCATCAAACAGTCTGAGAAACAGCTGTTTTCAGGATTGAGAATTTGTCCTTTTTAAAGGAGCATAAATGATGCAGCTATCAGCAGCTTTAGAGACACAGTTATGTGTTCATGGTAACGGTCATGTACTATCGAGAGCTGCACTGCAGGAAACCGAGTGCTCGGACAAATCTAAATTGTAGAGAGAAGCTTCCTGAATGAGTGAGCTTGGATGGAGCATCACTCTTGACCAACGAAAGGAGACGAGTGCCTGCTCGCGAGCTCAACACAGTGAATGCGAGGACAGAGACAGACGCTGTGCTTTGTAATAATAAGTGGATCATACGAGTGGACAGATGGACAGTGGAGAGGAAATGTGTTCAAACTTTTCCCAAATGAAATGTAAAGAATCCGAGCTGATCACAGGGCTTCATGAAGGCCCCGTTCAGATCCTAGTGAAGGTGCTCAGTTCTTGGTAGATTACTCTGTAACCGTGCACTTCTACTGCTGTGACCTGGCCACTGTGGAGGGAGGATTTCTGCCGTGATAACTTTACAGAGGTGTAGAATCCTATTTCACAGTATTATAAATGGTGGATTAAACTAAAAAGAAGACTACCTGGAAAGTATTTCATCCTCTCACCTGTACCTGTGGCAGAACACCAACGCAGCACCTTGCAGTCTTTTAGTGAACCCGAAGGAATATACTACAAAGTTTTTACAGAGACCTTTTTAAAGTCTGGAAGGGTTGAGTGTCTCAAACTCAAGACATTTCTCCAATTTTTTTTGGCTGCAGCATCACTCTTAAGGTTAGCCAGCTACCACAAATAACATGCAAGTTGCTGTCAGGGCTCTTGTTGACGAGCATCCAGAATCATGTCGTGGCCTTTGAGCTCATGCTCTGTCTCAAACATTGCTCAGGAAACAGCCGAGGGAACATCATTTCTTGCAGTCCGGAATGAAACGTACTCAAAATCTTGGTTAACAAAATTAGAGGGTTTATTCTCTGAGCTTCAAGTCATTCTTACTATATCAGATGAAGTGCTTTAGTCACTTTATCTCTTTCCTGCTACGTGACGGTGGCTGTCAGTTCATGTTAAAGGATGAGGCTGGTGTTTGTTCTCCACGCTTCTTCTTTCTTGCCCAAAAAAAAAAAAAAAATCCCATAAAAACAATTTTTTTCCAACTTCCCTACTCTGTCTGTGGGACTCGTGAATCTTTGGAAACAGTTCACAAATATACAGTGTAGTTTTATTTTGAAAAAAAAGACATGATCATTTCCTTAAACAGCTAGTTACTGTAGTTTTTCTAACCAGTGTTACTCCAACAGGAGTAAAGTGTGTGTGTGTGTGTGTGTGTGTGTGTGTGTGTGTGTGTGTGTGTGTGTGTGTGTGTGTGTGTGTGTAGCTCTATGACAGACGATACTTGTTAGAATGAATTTATTGTTGCTTTTGGTATTTTTGCTGGCCTTACTCATCAACTCCTCAAACGTACAATTTTCTCTGTAGCGGAGAGTAAAAGCTTTTAAGAACTGAACTACCAAAAAGTCAAACTGTTGTAATAGATTAGCTGTGGATTCTTTAACAGAACGTCTAACTGAGTTTTTTCCACTGATGTTCTTCTTTCCTCAGGTCAAACTCCTCATCTGCGCGTACAGAGTGCAGCTGCAGTGATGGCTCCTCTAAAGTCACGCCAGCCCTGGCCACCACAGCAAAACACACAAATAAAACACACACCGCCACACACACTGAGCAGCAGCTGAAATGCTCTGCCAAGCTCACTGTCTTCTAAGAGAGGAAGACTTTGTTGGATCTTCGTCGCCGTGAAGTGAAATGTGAAGTGAAAGTCCTTCACGTGCAGCACAAATCCGAGGATCTCACGAGGTCGTCGAGTGACCCTCCCCTCGAGCAGCCCGTCCATTTGTCGGTGAAACCTTTGCTTCCGCAGCTTCTGGGTGGAAGGAGGCAGCCACAAACTCCCGCCTCTTCCACTTGAGTAAAACTTCAAAGTTTGAAACCCTCCTGGGTTGTGCCTTTTTTTCCCCCCCAGAGTTCCACCTTCTGTGAGCTTGGATATGATAGATGTGTGTGTGTGTGTGTGTGTGTGTTTGTTCATAGACCCAGTTTGTGTGTACATGTGTGTAGATTGGATTTTTGGGTGAATTTGAAGAGGGGATTTCCCTTTGCTGTTTTTTTTTTTTTTTATTATTCTTTTTTTTTATTTTTAGCATTTTCCTTGGACCAAGCTGGTGCTTTCCCACTCAAGTTGTTCTTGGTGACACATTACTTTATAATGGACTTATTTCAGTGTATAAACTTGTGTGTGAGTGTTGCCAACCCCCTCCCTCCCCCAGGATTTTATTCTTCTCAGTCAAAAATTATGAACTCTTTCCTAAAGCTATGATGCGTTACTGGTTGTCAAATCTGGCACAGCTGTGTTAACAACAAATGGGAAATTGTGCTTTTGTAGTTTTTTTGTCACAGAATGAGAGATTTTCTCGCCAACCGAGATTGATAACATCTTTTCGTTTCACAAAACCAGAGACCTATTTTCTCCCTAATTTCACAACTCAGTCACATCACTTCAGAAGAGAAATATAAAAGTTCTGACACTGACTCAACTCACGTGGGGCACAGACACAACACACGTGCATCCTTAAGTTGGGTGTAATTCTCGTTTAGACGCCCCAGTATCTTGTTTACAGCGAAGTTCACACACCAGAATGAGGTGATTTCAAAGTAAGATGTTGCATTTTTAATGAATGAAAAGTTCCTTTTTGCCTTCCTTGTTGCTGTTTATATTTTCTGGTCTGTACATATTTACATACTATATATAAATATATACATACTTATATACAGTTATAAAGTGTCATCTGATGACTGCTAATGTTTTGTTGCTTTTTTGCCACTGTTAGGAGTAGGTTAAATTATTTAGTGTGCACAGTGAAAAGCTCTGATGTTAATCTTCTTTTAAGGGCTAAAATGTCTCGCCTTCGACCGACCGCCCTGCTTGTGAAGGTCAGGGGTTTTAAAATTGGAAATCTTTTTGGTCACGTATTGATTGATGCAGGTTTTTTTTTTTTTACAGGGACACTGTACCGAGCCTGTCGGTGCAGGACAGCCAATCAAAACTCAGTCCTCCAACAAAAACAGTCTTCTTTTTTTTTTTTTTGCCCAGATTTGAAAAGTGTAGTTGATTTTAAAGGACCCCCTCTACAGGGAGACAAATACCAAATGTTGTGAGAACACGCCTAGATTTTAGCTGTGTGATATTTCCTATTGAACTCAGCTCAGGCCAGCAATATGTCTATATAAGTGTGGAACAGTACCGTTGAAATGTTGTCCGTGCTGCTGTCCATGCTGCCTTAATATCCAGTTTTCACATCATCTTGTGTTTTGTCTTTCACAGTTGAAAACTGAGGAGGAGGAATATACACGGTTGTACTATTTTTGACTGTTAAACAAACTCAACCAACAGCTCCGAGTGTAAATCTGACTCCAGAAATTTCTTTTGATACACACATATTTCAGAGACAACGTACATTACAAAAAGAACCAGACGACCCAGTAGAGACAGAATGGACGCCTGTATTCAGAGCATATGCATGAAAATATAATCGGATCTCTGTTTGTCTTTAGCAGACTTAAACTGTTAGGTGTGTGTTCAGTCTAGTACGAAAACCTTCTGAATAAATGCTCAAATTCAGCACCTCAAACACCTGGTTCTCCCAAGAGCCCCCCCCCCCCAAGAAAACCTTACTGTTTGGTTCCTTTTTTTCACTCTCTGATTGTATTCCCTTCGGTCGTGTCATTACAGAGCTGCTTACCTCTTGCTTACCTGGTGTTGTGGCTCCCTGATTCGGTTTAGTCACCAGAGGCAAATGGGTTCAACAGAAATCATGCTTCTCTCATGTTGACACTCACTTCATTCCCGACCTAACAATGTTGACTTGCATGCGGTACTTTTCCGTTCACCCTGTTTAGTGGCAGCAGAACTTCGAACAACGCAGCCAAAGAAACATGAAAACTGACGAGTCGGTACATGTGGAAAAGGATGCGTTTGGTGTTCTGTTTGTTGACAAGCAATTTGTGGGCAGCTCTATAATCATGTGACTACTTAGATTTATGATCGGTGTGAAATGGAAAGTGTTTGACTTTAAATAAGAAAAAGATATAAAACTCGCATATCCAACCTTTGGGAGTCAGGAGGACTGTTTGAGGATTATCTGGAAAAACCAAAGATAACTTCAGAACAGACTTTTAACCAGTGAATTTGCATGTTTTAGCTCATTTTATTACAAAGTTTACAAGTACATCTACCCATTTTTGCAAACCACTGTGCTTTGTGTCCTAGTTTTTTAATGTATTTGTCCTATTTTCCATGTAGTGATTGGTTCAGAATCAGAAGTAGACTCTTGAAACTTACTTGAGTCGTGTAAATCTAAAAGAATTACCATTACGACTGCACAGACTTTTCAAATCAATCTGGACTTTAAACTGCTAGTGATGCTTCATTCATGACTGCGCCACGATAATGAATGAATTACACCGATGTAGCAAGTTTCAGGAGTTTGCTAATTGACTATCGCACTGCCTAGAGATGAACATAAGTCAGTGGCTGCCTGGAAGGAAGGAAGGAAAAAATCTAGCAAGAGATCTGTAACTTTCAAGCTTGCATTGAAAACTTGTCAGTGTAAGGAACAATACGTAGGATTTGTAGTCGAGAGAAAAACTTGTAGAAACAGTAGAATGGTCCTTTAACGGACGGACAGGATTCGGGTCTTCTGTTTTGCCTCCTGTGTGCACCTTTATTTTTGAGCGTGTTGACAAATATTTGGCTCTGAATGTTTCCTGCAGGTAGATGTACAGTGTGTGTGTGTGTGTGTTTGTGTGTGTGTGTGTGTGTGAGAGAGAGAGAGAGAGTGACCTCAATGTTGTTTGTATAGACGCCGCAGCCAGTCACTGCTTTACCCTGAGGCCGTGTCTCTGTCCTGAATAAAATGTGTACATTTATTTTCACACTGGGTTCTCTGTCTCGTTCCTCACACAAACTTTGTGTCACTATACGTGATAAGCCAGGTGCTCAAATCACACGTTTTTCAAAGTAGGTCTTTAGGCTTTATTTAGTAGAAGTAAGCAGAGAAAAAAAGAAGGTATGCGGGTATGTGATAACTTCTAGATTTAATTTGCCACATAAAGACGTGGAGTTTGGTGTAGTCACAAGTTATTCCCTGTTCTTTTTCTTCTTCTTTATTAGTTTCATGTCTGATAATACAAGAGAAAGATACATTTAAATTATTGAGTGAGAATTGAATATTGTATATCATTGTTTACTGGCACAAATGACAACTTTATTCAATTAAAGTAAAATATACACAACAAATAAAGCATGCAAAAGGTGAAGGGCTCTGGATAATTCCTGAAGCCACTGTATCAAATTCATGACAGCAACTCTGTTGGCCATGACTTCCATATGTGAAATCCCCGCCTCCTCATGACCCTAAAAGGATCAGCAGTATGGCTAATGAATGAATGACAATGATCATCTAATGTTAGTGATCATCTTTGAGATGTTTGGATTGGAGACCGCGATGAAGAGGAGGAGAACCTAGTATTTTACTTACTGACCGCGGACTGTTAATGGAGCCAGGGATGGGGTCACTGCCTCCATCAAGTTGTGTGTCCTCCTTATTTGAAGGAAAGATGGCGGGTTCCTCGCCATCAGCAGCCAATCATCATCATTCTGGCCCAACACGTGCCTGGTTCCTCGGCCCGAGTCTGGCCCATGTTCTCCCACATCTGGGCAGCATCTGGCTGATACCCTCTGGTATTGGCTGACAGCCAGAAGATTTTTATGTGTGTGTGCCAGAATTGGTCCAGATGTGGAAGTAGCATCTGACAATCATGCAGTATATGGGCCAGATTTGAGCTGTGGAACCAGATGTTTACTGGGCCAGAACAAAACAAACAAGTAAGGACTGGCTTTATTTTGCTATCTGGACAAAATCCTCTATGGCAGTGTTACTGTAACCTGTTCTTTTTGTAAATAAATGAGTTGCAATATGATGACTTCATTAACTATTCAGAGAGCCAGTATAACATTTCATTGTGTGGTCAGTTATAGATGACTAATGCATCCCAGAACTATAGACAAATAGCACTACACCCAGGGGCGGAGCCAGACATTGATATTCAGGGGACATGCTCCCCCGGGGAATTTTTTTCCCCATTCACAGCAGCTACATCCACTATTTACTGTATCAAGCCATTTGTACATCATTTGGGGAAAACATGAAAGTTGCCCAGGAAAAAAAAAAATCATCCTAAACCAGCATCATGTTTTGAATCTAATTGTTCTCTCTAATCTAAGTGATTTTGACAATGACTAATTTTCGCTACTGCCACATAAAAAGAAGCAAAAATTGTCTGATGTGACTAGTTTGAATTTACATGACACAGGTGGTGAATGACTTTGGCATAAACAGCATCACTAATCTTGACACCTATTTTTGTTACACTATGCTGAGTGCAGTTCATAGACTGAATGTTTAGATGACAAATCTACATTTAAATCCAGACCATAATAATATGTGCTGCGCTAACTGAGCTAGCTAAGACATGGATCCACAACAAGGCCAAGTAAATGTCTTCACGACTCTGAACTGAATTTTAGGCCAACAGAAGAACATTTACTCTAATGATATTACATTTCTTTAAGGAATAGCATCATAGGATAAACAACATGGACATGTACTGTAATATCAGACAGTATTTTATTTGATCTACTCCGGATCACTGTTTTCATTCCCTCCTCTTTTCTTCTTCTTTCACTCTCTCAGCTCCACTCATCCATCCCTGGAAATGTCCTGCTGACTGCTTCTGCTGCTTTGCTCATATTCATCAAGTGAAGTCCAGTGTAATCCTAGAACACATGTGAAAAATTACATTCTCAGCTCCACTCATCCATCCCTGGAAATGTCCTGCTGACTGCTTCTGCTGCTTTGCTCATATTCATCAAGTGAAGTCCAGTGTAATCCTAGAACACATGTGAAAAATTACATTGCTATCAGGGAATTACATTTTCATTTTCAAGTTTACATTATCATTTTATTAGTCCCCAATAGGCTTCAATAATGACGTTAATATTTCTAATTTTAGCCTGTTATTTTTCCAGATGCTTTGAGGATGGAACAAAACATCATAATCACAGCATTTAAAGGAGAACCCAACCCTCTTTAAGAATTCACATTTGTTATTTCTGTGCCTCAGAACAAACTGGTGAATATTTGTGACCATGCTGCACTCTCAGTTGCTCAAAGTAAGAAACCAAAGGGAGAACCTTAAAATGTGCAATGTCATCCCAGTTTGCTCAGTAACAATGAATGGAGCTCTGATGCTCTGAGGCCATAAAATATTTGTGGAATTTCTTACACTAAAATGAATGTTTCAAATCTTAAACTTTGTATCCAATTTAAAATCTGGATGAGACCTGTTAGGAGCTACTCTACACAGATACTATAGATTATGGGGTTAGTGAGGGAACTTAGTGGCTCAAAGTAATTTCAGCTATATAACTTCAGTAGCCTGACTCAATTAAAAAGAGTAATGCAATTCCTGCATTCCACATTTTCATTTGTCACTTCTGACATTTAATCAATATTTTACTGGAATACACAGCTGTTGTCAGTGCCCCTTGTGTTAATCTATGGATTCTCTCGGATTTCTAGCTTTAAGGACAGGACTTAACTGTCCTTGGGCCCAGGAGTAACATATGTGACAAAATTGCTTTCAAATTAATGAACTGTATGTTTATGAACATTGTGATTATTATTTATCATTAAATTTAGCATACATTTATGGTAATTACTGTAAAAGTATGGAGTTATTTTTATGCCTCATTCCTGAGTGCACAGCGGGACTTTTTGTGCACAAATACATTTTGTAAACACACAAATTATATTTTGAAGAAAAAATAATTTTGAGAAAATAATACCGTAACCTGAGCAAATTAAGATCTATTCTGTGCTCAATAAATCTATTTCTCAGTTTGCTATTATCCACAATATCAATGTGTGTCACTCAGGTTGAGTCAATTCTATGAGAAGCCGCTAGGCAAAAACTGAATACTTCACTTACACATACAAATATACTGGTACTAAGCACTTGCACATACATGCATACTATCAGGCATATACTGTACATACATGTATACATACAGTTATGCATGTGTAGGGCAGTAGCCTAAATAAACCACTGGGTGTCGCAGTCGCGATGTTTAGTCCCAGGTGAATCCCGATATTGGTGTTGTTTAACCGGTGTAGGACACCGTAGTTTTGAGGTGTGTTCCGCGCGGGACACCATCTTGGTTTAATGTTTTCTTCTCTCACGGTACAAGGTAAGCAGAGGCCTGTATCGTCGTAAAAAAGCTTCATTTAAATCACACTTCCAGTCTTTCTGTTAAAACTCTCTGTAAACAACACGTTAGTTAACAGTTTGCCACGGGTCTGAGACGTGAGCAGTTGCATTTCCTGTCTTAAGGTTGTTCGTAATATTAGCTAGCCGGCTAGCTTTCTGTGCAGCATTCGAGCAGCGGAAACTGTGTGGGATGTCTGATCTGGTTGGTTACAGGTAGGCATGCTATTCATCTGCTAATAACATTAGCTTAGCAGTTAGAGATGGCTTTTCTCTCTTGTTCAGTATTTTTGAAACTTCAGTGGAGAGGATTGTGATGTCTGCTGTCAGGGGCGGAAGAGTGAGCTCCTTGGCGCCATGCAAACTGTTAAAACGGATGTGTCACATCTCATCTCCGGGTTGGTGCTCCTATAAAAGTGTCGGAGCCTCCCATCGGTTAATATGTGTTTTTAAAAACTAATTCGGGGCTGCATCTACTCTTTCATCGTCATTTCATTTGAATTTTAGTTGAAAATGTTACTCAGTACTGTATTGTGAACAGCTGCTTAAAATGACCTGGTTTTCCCTGCAATGGAAAGTTTCTTTTATTTAGTATAATTATGTGTTTTCACAAGAATACCAGAATCCACCTCAGGCCAGTGCCACACCTTATGGTCCCCCACATTGGCATGACTACACCCCATACCTGTATGGGCTCAAATTAGGGTCAAAAGAATTTTGAACTTGTAAAGTCATGTTCACAATTAATTCCAAATGTAATTGTAAATCAACCTTTGTAAACTTGTAATTGTGTGCATAGAAGATATTTTGTATTTGTAAAAAGAGACTGATTAAAATCTGAACAAATGACAGTAGTGGTGAGGTAGCACGCTGTGAAAGAAGTACTTTTGTCAATGTCAGATAGAAAGCAGAAAACTATAAGGCTTGGTGTTGAAAGTTCCCACACAGTGTGTGACACTGAAGTTACAAGTAAAATTTTGACCCTATTTTTACACTTAAATCTGATTGGACAATTCATTCACATAGAGTCCAATCAGAGTGTAGATGTTCCGTTACCTTCATCTCTGTCCTAGATCCTGAAAGGTGCAGTAGATTTTCAACTCTGTCACTGTCAACTTGAAAATCTACTACGCTTTTCAGGATCTACTGTGGAGATGAAGATGAAAGAACCACCTCCTCTCTGATTGGACTCTGCTTTGTGATTGGAATGTCGTTCACATGTAAAAAAAAATAGGGTCAAAATTCTACTTTTAACTTTAAGCATCAAGTTTTACAGTTTTTGACTCCCCATCTGCTCACAGGTTTTGACAAAAGCACTTTGTCTTTCATAGTGTCTTTGTGCTACGTCACCTCTGATATGATTTGTCCAGTTTTATTCACAAAGTTTTGTTTTTCTTACAGAAGTCCATTTATTTAATACATTTACCAGTATGTGTTTTCATAGGGATGCCAGAATCCACCTCCAGCCAGAACCACATTGAGGTCCCCCACAACAAGCAAGAAATGGTAAGTCCTGCGCATGACTGCACCCCATAAGTATACAGGCTCATATTAGGGTCATAATGATTTTGAACTTGTAAAGTGATGTTCACAAATAATTCCAATGTTTGTAGTTGTAAATCAACCTTTGTAAACCTGTATGATAAATTTGTGTGAGAAATTCAAGTTTCTGCATGTGGAAAAAAAATGTGCTTGTGTCAAAGAGATTTATATTTGTTAAAAAAGACTGTGAATCAAAACCATGAACAAAGGATCAGTGTTGAGGCTACACAAACATAAAAAAGAAGACATGGTTTCATCAACATCTGTTTACTAATACAGAACAGAAAACTGTGTAAAACTCTGCACTCAAAAGTTTCCACAGTGTGTGCCACTGACATTACACGGGTCAAAATTCGTACTTGTCAGTGTCACACACTGGGAATGTTGAGTGCTGAGTTTTACAGTTTTCTATGTTGTATCTGTTCACAGACTGTGTCTTTGTGTAGCCTCACCACTGGTCACAGGTTCAGTTTTGAGTCACACAGTCTCTTTTAACAAATACAAATCTCTTTACCACAAGCACAATTTTTTCACATGCACAAACTTCAATTTTTCATGCAGATTTATTTTACAGGTTTATAGAGGTTGATTTACAACTACAAACGTATTATTTGTGAACACCCCCAGTCGCATTAGCATTAGCAAGCTGCTAGCTGACATTGTACATTGATGATTGAATTAAACAATTTCAACATAAGAATAATAAATAAGAAAATGTTTTTTAAAAAGTGCCAGAATACTTTCTAAATGCATTGTATGTCTAACTGATTGATCTGTCAAACAAATCTCTTAGTATTCTTTCCTAACAGGTGTAATGAATACTGTGTACACTTGTATTCATGCATGATAACTCGTTTAGGTAGAAAAAATGTAAAATGCCATTAAATGCACATTTACAGTGACCTTTTTTTTGTATGTTTGCATGATGAGTTTACAATGCATCTTCATCAGTATGAAATGTCAGAACCCTGCTTCCATTCCCTCCGTCTGCAACGTGACTGTTTACTGTCACCCTGGCAACGGCTTCCGGTTGAGTAGTTGACGTTAGCATAGCCTGCATATTAACAATGAACAATAAAATTGTAATATGTAATTTCTTAACAAAACAAATATCACCAAAAGTCATACTATCAAACACCTTAACCAGGTTCTGTCACTTCATATCTTACAACCGTTAACGTAGCGCACGTTACTTGTCGCCGATTATTTGAGGAAATAAAACAGCTGAAAGACTGCGTACTCTTACTTTGAAAAGCGGAAATGGCGGCGTCAGCAGGCGGTCAGTTGTTTTCCGATACAAATCGATTTTCATTCAGACCGGCAGAAGGTTTGTCTCATAACTCTGTGTAAAACGCAAATCCACAAGCGTAGAGAAAAGAAAATTGATTCAATAATGTTTTTTTGACAGTTCTAAATATTAGGAAGATATTCACTATTGCTTTTCATGTACTTGTAAATTAACTGAATGTACTCACAGATATGTTTTTATTCGTGAAAATTGTTTGTAGACCCGTTTTATATTTGCAAGATATTTTTCTGAGTTTACAAATGTATTTTTTGTATTTGTAGAAGGTGTTTTATATCTACAGATCGCACATTTACTCAATGATTGTCAATCAATTCACAAAAATAATATTGAGACAAAATCTACCTCCATACCCATCCCTCTTTCTCTTCACCTGCACAACTGTTCACATCTCATTTCCCCTTCTCTCCTTCATTCTTTTCCTCCCTTTCTACTCTATTCTTCACTTTTCAAATCCAGGCTTCCTCTTCTGTCTTCTTCTCATCTGTTCTCCACTCCTCTCCTCCTGGTTCTTCATCACATATTTTTTCTCCTCTCTTCTTCTCTTAACTTCAGCTTTTCACTCCTTTCTATTCCTGCTTCCTCTCCTGGTCCACAGGTTGTCCTGTCATGTCCCAGCGCTCTCTTACTCATTTTCCCTCATGGCTCGCCCAGCTTGCCAAAAATAAATAATAATATAAATGGCTATTTCCCTAATACAGTATTAATAGAACTCCATTGATTTGCCCGTCCAGTCAGAGAGACTGAGAGAAAATGATACCAAGTTGAAGTTATAAATATAAATAATGTTAAAATAAACTGCATATAAGATTCGGGGCTTTTGGGAAAACATCCCGGACTGGAGCCCCATAAGCTGCCCCCCTCGCTCCACCTATGACTACACCCCTGATGATACATTACATTATTAGATTGTTAATACTAATGCATCTGTGTGTGGGCAGTATTTTACTGTTGCAGCTGCTCGAGGTGGAGCTAGTTTTAACATTTTACATACAGTTAATCTGGTGGTTCCCAACCAAGGGGACAGACTCCTTCAAAGGGTCACAAGACAAATGTGAGGGGTCAAAAAAACAAAAGCTAAGACCCACAGACATTAATGTCATGGGCCTTTCTCTAATGTTTGATTTTAGTGACATGAATAATTTAAGGTCTTCTTTGGGCTTCAAACTGCTATTTGAGGCCCATAGAAGACCTCAAATAGCAGTTTGAGAAAACATGAAACCAACTTCTCACGTGGTATTAAATGAAACCATGTGAGAAGTTTGGAGGAGAAGTGTGTCTTTGGTGGAAACAGTTCTCAGACATCTGAATCATGAGAAGAAGCCCCAACTCTTCTTTTGTAAAAAGAGGTCAAAGAGAGTTGGAGGCCTGGTTTAAATCATTACAATGCTTTGTATTTTATTAACTTATTGTATGTTTTTATGTAAAATGTTAAGGTGCAAAGTAACTAAAGCTGTCTATAAATGGATTTTGGTGCAGCACTTTTCCAGAAGTGGTCAAATAGTTAATTGGAGAGGTCTCTCAGATGAATTTAACTAATAATAATAATAATAATAAGATGATGTGTGGGACTTTCCACAATCTGGCAACCCAAAAGTTGTTCTTATTAGTGGCTCATAACTGATCTATAAATCATTAGTAAATGATTTATTAACCATTAATAAAAGTCGTTAATCGCAGCTTATAAACCCTTTATAAATGGCGCCTTATCAGCAGGTGGCAGTCTACCAAAATGAAATATTAACATATTCAGGGCAGAAATGCACTGAACTGTATGAAAGCTAAATGTGAAATTAAGAGCCAGATGGACTTAATTGGCTGCTTTGAAAATGAAATGAAATGAAATGAAATGAAATGAAATTGGGGGGGGTCTCAGACTCCTGTGTGGCCACACAAACACTGGTGGGATGGTGAAGGATCAGTCTGCACTTCTCCTTTCAATGTGGATCCAGGGTCACGTGTTTATATATTTTTGTGTAATTTATGAACATTGAAATCTCCGACATTTTGCTCAGTAACCGACACACCCGACAGTTCAGTCCTCCACCCATCACCGCCTACAATCCGGTGAGTTAAGTGACGTATGAGGCGCTGTAGGGATGGAAACCCTTTTTCTGCAACGCCGACCCATGACGTGAATCCGATCTGCACGTTTCGGTGTGACAATTGAACGCACCTGATCCGCCATATTGACAACGTAATCATCAGTTCATTTGAGTTTTTGCCTCCCCGATGCAAACCTCGCCAGATAACCTGGCTGTAACTGAGTTACAGTGATTTTATCGCACCTGAAGATGTGTTTTTTCTAATCTCCTTTTTACTTTAATAACAGGGACTTTTATTGTTGTTAAGGTGTGCACAGCATTTTTCTAACTCTCCAATGTGATTATTAGTTATTTTTCCCAGCCCTTTGGTTTTTCCTGCTTATGTCTGGATGAAATTACGTGAGGAAACCCGATGTTGCACCGACAGAGCTGAGAACATGAACTCTCTCAACCCGGATCCTTGCTCCTGATTGGACCTGAGCTGTGTACTTCAGTGCAGCCTGTTTTAGCGCCTTGACCAAAGACCCTCATGATCAAAGTCTGTCATTTTCCTGCTGAACTGGAGTCAGTTTACACGGGAGATATGATACGTATGGGTGAGGTTAAATCAGCTTAATGGAGCATTTTAATTGCCAGCCATGCAACCGCTGATTGCTCCTCTTGCGCTTGCGCGAGCCAAAAAAAGGAAAAGAAATTAAGAAATACGAATGGATGCCTTCAGAGAGAATAATAAATGAGAGAGGTCTCACTACGTCCCTACGTCTGGTTACAATAAACGTGAGCATAATTGCAAGAGGGACTTAAAGAACCATACCAGTGTTTTTGGAAGTCTCTGCTTCTTGACTGTATATTACTGACTTGAACGGATTATGAGACAACAGGCCCTGTAGACTCTCAGATATTTATAGTTATAATTTGGGGTTTTTTTCAATTTTGTTTTGGTCATTTTGCATCTGTTTGTACTTGGTTTACATCTCTTTGTAGTCGTTTTACATTACTTTGTAGATCATTTGTGTCTCTATGTAGTTGTTTTTGCATCTTTCTCTCTACTTAGAAACAAAAATAATGAATCTTGCAAGTCAAAATAGATTATAGGCATCCAACAAGAAAAAAAGTAGATATCCAATACTTAAAATACCTAACAGAAACCAAACCAATCTAAATAACTAAAAAAAAAAAAGATGAAATTTGAGTAATAGTAATATTTTTCCATTATTTGTTGAGACTGTGTTGAAAAGGTGTTGATTCAACTGTTTGATCGTTTTATAAGACTTTTGAACAGTACTTCATTACATAAAAATGTATGTGCTGTTTAGCCTACCCTCTTTGATTCGAATGGGATGGACAAAATAATAGTAACACTTGCCAATCAGTGAATCAATACATCTTTAATATAGTCTCAATTAAGAGATCTAATCACATTAATACATCCATGGAGACTGCATTAGTTTCAGCTTACTGTACCTAATAAACTGACAATTGACTACAAGACTGAGTGTGTGGTATACACTGAACATCTGGTGCTGCGGGACGTCTGTGTGCTTGTTTTGAGCGTACGGAGTGAGACATCCCGCTGATGGACGATCTTTGGAACGAAAGTGGAAAGTTCTACG